TTTAATTAATTTAATAATTACTTTAAAATTAAAATTTTATCAGCATGTTAAGATTTGAAGCACATATTTTATTTAATATTGTTGTTTCACATTTTTTTACTAATTTAATTATTAAAAGAAGATAATATTTAAAATAATTCAATTATATATTATTAAGAGATCGTTTTTAGAATAAACCTTATTTGTGATTTCATGAAAAATGATATTGTAATATAAGAATATTTGAAAAAAAATTCATGTCTTGTTCTAAAAAGGTCAAATTACAACTAATATGAAATATAAATAGACAATAATATAGAAATTACTATTACAAATAGTGGCAGGATATACTTATCACCAATTAAGTTTACCATTTATTACCATCAAATCTTAACCGTTGATTTTCACTAATTTGATGGTTATAATTTATTGAGAATTAATAATTAATTAATATATAAATGTCATCTAATAAATTATAACCGTCAGATTGACGGAAATTCACAGTTAAAATTTAGTGGTAAAAAGTGATATTAATTGGTAGTAAGTTGAACTCTCCCCTTAAAAATATGTCTGACTTTGAAATAATTTTAGGTAACTAAGAAAATAAAAAATAAAAAATAAAAAGTAGTTATGACAGAGTGTGAATAGATAAAAAGGAGTGTTAATGATTCACCCAGGAAAAAAAGTGTCAATAGCCATACCCTATACAAAAATATTCAAGTTATAAAGAGTCGATCTTATAATATCCATGAGTGACTACAATGAATTAATTGTAAGATTATAAATCATATGACTCTACGTAGGGGTGCTAAACAAACCAGGGATTTTTGGCTCGGCTCGTGAAGGCTTGAGCTTACATGTCTAAAATTGGCTGTTAGCACCAGACTTGAATTTGTAAAAAAACTCGTTTAATAAAAAGGCTTCAGGCTCCAATTCAAAAGTTCGGCCTTAGAGCCTTTCAGGCTGGCCTAATATATTATTTTTTATTTTTATTTTATATTTTTTATACTACTTGTAATAGTCTTTTCTTTCTCTTCAATCCATTTCACCCCATTTTATTGGTTAAACAGACTTTTTGAATCATTTTGTTCTATATTATACTGTTTGGATATATATTGAATTTATAAATATTTATGAAATTACTAGTGTTGTTGATTGTATATTTTGTTTGGATAAATTTTTGTTGTCTTATTTTTTTAAACAGGCTAAACCAGGCTTTTATTTTTTGTAAATAAGCCAGGCCACATGCCGATAATTATATCTATAACAGGTAACATGCTTGGTCAGGCTGACACATTTAAACACAGGCTTAGCTTTTTAAGATCAAAGCTCAGCTCGGTTCGTTAACACCCCTAACTCTACGTATCAGATATAGTTGTAATTGACAACGACAATTAAATTAGGGTTTTATTAATCTGATGTTAAATGAGATAATTATCTCATGTCATAGAGATAAATTTGTGGGCTCCATCACCTGAAAAAAAAAAAAAAAAAAAGGTGGCAAAGTTATTGAAAGATGTGTAAGAGAAAAAGTTATCACACGTAGCATAAGAGTAGTTTCTCCCATTAAATTATGATACCATAATACACAGAAAAGTATCGATATTTTTTTTTTTCTAAAAAGACAAATGGTAATAAAACTTGACATTTACCTCTTTCATTTTAAAAATTACTTACTTCTCTTATGATTTTTGGATCGAAATCCAACCCCTAAAACTTTTAAAAAAATAGGTTAAATTACCTAACACATATGGCAGGACTCGGTGTGGGAGTATAGGACTTGTGTGTGCTTTTAAGAATAGATTGTCGATGCTTCAACAACTTCATCTTGTCTCAATGCATGTACTGTGAAAGTAAAGGGAGATGACAACATATTGGCACCTAAAATGGAAGCAGCCTTCTTTCCCACCCAAGAATATAGAAATGCAAATCAGTGATATAAGAAGCAAAAGCAAGTTCAGGGGGAACATATATAGAATCAAACCAAGACAAAATAAGTAATTTTATCTAATTTTTACCAGGGTAAAGAATCGGACTTAGGTGAAAAAACCATATGGGAGGTAAATAATTATTAAAAAAGAAAAAAGCATAAGGGTAAATAACTCTAGAGAAAACCATAGGGGTGATAAATGAATCAGGAGCTTTGGCTCGGCTCGTGAAGGCCTGAACTTACATGTCTAAAATTGGTTGTTGGAAATAGGTTTTTGGACTTGTATAAAAGCTCGTTTAATAAAAAGGCTCAGACTCCAATTCAAAAGCTCGGCCTTAAAGCCTCTCAGGCCTAGTACATTAATTTTTATTTTTATTTTATATTTTTTATACTACTTGTAATAGCTTTCTCTCTCTCCTCAATCCATTTAAACTATTTTATTGGTTAAATAGATTTTTTGAATGATTGTGTTCTATATTATACTGTTTAGATATACAATGAATTTATGGATATTTATGGAATTACTAGTTTTGTTGATTATATATTATGTTTGGATAATTTTTTGTTGTCTTATTTTTTTTTAAACAGGATAAACCAGACTTTTACTTTTTGTAAATAAGTCAGGCCACATGCCGATAATTATATTCATAACAGGCTGACACATTTAAACTCAAACTTAGCCCTTTAAGACCAAAACTCAGTTCGGCTCGACCCGTTACTAGAAAACCATATAAGATTTTTGAAATTTTCTCTAAAAAGTGCGGACATTCGAGATTCTATAAATCTCGTTGTATATAATCTTTTAAACCACGATGGTGAGTTTCAAGCTACTAATTGATGTTTTATTTGTCATTAATTTTTATTAGTGTGACGAATTCCTATTAAATCACGGTTCTCATTAGCTAACAATGGATGATTCATAAGTAAGCACGTTTCATTGTACTCTGAAGTAAGATAGACTTGAAAATATTCAAAATCTTATATAAGTGCAAAACAATTCTTTTTCAGTATAAGTCAAAGTTATTCTCATATCATTAATTTTTTATATTAAATAGTTACACTATAAAATTGATCATTCGATCGATTGGGTGTTCCTGATATTTATAGATTAGTAAATATTTCATTAATATATATCAAGATTATCGTTATGTATTCTAAAAAAAAATTATCTCCATTCTCGGAATCAATGCATGTTTTTTTTTTTTTTTTTTTTGTCTGAAGGAAAGATGACGAAGTCCAATTCTTTTGGTCCAAGCAATGGTTGGTCAGAGCCCAGAGTAACAACATGGTTCTTCATTGTTAGCCCATTATGTATTCTTGCAAATCAACATGCTATGGCCTGTGAATTATTTGGGCCAATATATTTCATTTATTTCTTTAGATACGTGTATAATTGTTGTTTGAATTCCACAGACAAAAAGCTATTTCCTCAGTCCAAGTCCAAACCCATTTCAGATCCAACAACATTCCACGTTGTACCGGCAAAACAAACAAAAAATGACAAGAGAAGCTATTTAGTGGGTCTAGACTATGGTGGTCCTTTCCTATAATAGAAAAAAAGAGGGACGGAGGGGAAACAAATCAAAAAGAGAAGGGTAAAAATAGAAGAAAATTTTCTATTTATAGAAAAGAGACCACTAAATAAGTGGTGGGCCTGGAACATATTAAAATTTTCTCCATATTAACATCTATCCGAACTTTTTTAACCAATCATGTGTAATTGATCTAATTATTTTTTTTTTTGGAAAAAATATTTGTTTTTTAAAGAATATAACTTTGTATCATTTTAGATCCTAACCGTTGATTTTCGTCAATCAAATGTTAAAATTTATTGGGTCAAAATTATTAATTAATTATTAATTCACAATAAAACTTAATAAATCCTAACAATTGATTGACGAAAATCAACGATTAAGATCTAAAATGACACAAAGTTATATATTTTAAAAAGAAAAATATTTTTTTCTTTTTTCATACCGAATTTAATTATCTCTTCGAGCCGAGTCGACGTTCAATAGTCTTACAAGCTTCAAATTTTGGAGTAAACTATGAGATCAATTCTGAGTCTGCGCTTTAGTCACACCTGGGCCAAAGCTCAGCCCCATAATTCCCGGAACAAGCTCCATACTTGTGTATTTTCTTTTTCAATTCGAATAGTGGGAAATAATGAGAATTCTGACTCGTTTAAACAAATAATTAAAAAGTATATAAAATGCAAAGGATATTTAAATATGAGAATTTTGTTTCATTCTACTAACAACACACTTTTTTTGGGGTTTAGTGTTTATCATTTTAAATGACATAATTTTGTGTCATTTTTAATGAAATTACGTCGTTTTGGTGTATTTTGTAATTTTTTCTAATTTATAAAATTAGAAATAAAAAGAAAATGGAGGAGAGAGAATATTAAAACACACCAAAACGACGTAGTTTCATTAAAAATGACATAACTTTGTGTCATTTAAAATGACAAATATTTTCCCTTTTTTTATATACTTTCTTTATACTATTTATTTTGAACTGAATTTCGTTTGAATCACGTTAAATTAATTCGAGTTCATTTTTATTAGTTCGACACACATACCCAAAGCATAACTTGACGCGGTAAAGCTAGCTTATATTTTCATCTACACTTGCAAGACTGAGTATGACATGGTCAAAACCAGGGGAAAAAGAAAAAATAAAGTAGTAAAAAATTTAATTTAATAGATGGAGAAATAATTATAATAATAAAGAAGAAGAAGAAGTCCACTTCAACGTGGGAAAATGGCCAAATGGATAGTAATGTGACAGCCAACTAACCTTCTATTCCCTGAAACATAGAAGGAAACTTCCAAAGAGTGAAATACAAAAATTAACCCTTTGTTAGACATAAGTTATGAGGTTAGCAGGGGCATTTCAGTCTACAAGTGAATGTTCGTAGACGCTACTCATTATCTGAATAAACAATTGGCGTCCGCGTCAAGGTGGTTTCCATCTTCGAAATTAATTTGAAAAATCAACGCAACACGCTTAATAGCTTTATATAACCCAATATCCACTACCCCTCAATGTTCTTCACGTTCAACACACCTAATAGCGTTTCAGAGACAGAGGAAAAGACAACATGGGAGATGATGGAGATTGTGAATGCAGGCCATTGGGTTTCTTGATTGGATTGCCCTTTGCTCTCTTGGCTTTGATTTTATCTCTTGTGGGTGCAGTTATCTGGGTTCTTGGGTACGTAATTTCTCTTTAAATTTTCAATCTTTTTGCTTATTCTGTTACTTTGGTTTGTTTTTTCTTCAATTTTATTATCTGGGTTGTGTCACATTCTTTCAATTTTTATAATCACATTCATAGGTCATTAGTTCAATTAATCTCGCACAAAATGTCTTCTAATTCTTTTTACCTTTATTGTTTTTCTTCATTTTTCTTTTTCTTTTTTCTGATTTTCCGTTCTCAGCATGAATTGTGATGATGGGTTATGATGCAGGTCTATATTGAGTTGCTTGTGCCCATGTTGCATTTGCTGCACCGGATTGGCTAATTTGGCTGTGAGTCTTGTAAAGCTTCCAATTCGGATTCTTAGATGGTTCATTCATCAAATTCCTTGCTAGAGATTACAAATTTTCGCCTTTCCCTTTGTAGTAAAAGTTTGACTTGTTTGCAGCAATTATTGACCCTTTTTTTTCCTTTTTCTTGGGATTTGCCTATTTGTGTGATTAATTGGATTACTTATGATCTTTCGTTTGTATTTGATTCTTTCTTGTTATATTATACAGAATAAAATAGAATGCAGTTACCTAGTTTATATGTTTGTTTCATTTTTATTTTTATTTTTAAAAAAATTGGGGTTGACATTTCAATCATATATGACAAATTGCATCTGTATGATGAGTTGGAGCACCAATCTAATTAGTCAAAACCATTGACTCACTGTTTTATTTTTCCTCCCTCTTATTGTAGCGATCATTATATCGATTAAATAAAATTTAAGCCCTGTCCTTCAAACTTGGTGATTGTATTGTTTGAAATGTAGATGGGTGTTGGTTGTAGAACTGACTATGATAACATGATTATGATCATATACACTGGTGCAAAAATGAAGAAGAAAAGGTTAACTTCGAAGACAATGTAAAAAGTGATTGTGCTTGATTCAAGCTATAATCTTTTCAAGCCCAACATTCGGTTATTGGACTTGTATCACACAGTTCCCACATTAAGGATTCGCTTAACCTCATATACATATCCATATACTAGAAAATTTCTTCAGCCCAGAGGCAAGATGGACTTGATGGCCTGGTCCACAAATGAAATTAGGGTCGGTTTATATTTTACTAAAATTAAAAAAAAAAAAGATTTTTAAACTGTTTGTATTAAATGTAAGCTATGTTGCACCGATACTGACACGGAAAACGACACGCTGAAAGTTAATTCTAAAAAATGTCATATTTCGACACGTTAGGACACGTTTTGATATTAAATAATATTTTTAATATATAATATAATTTATATTTAATACTTATAACAGCTCATAATAAGTCATATAATCAATCAAATATTCAAATTTCATAACATAAATATAAATATAAATAATTTGGTTAATAAATTTAAATTTAGACTGGAAAAAAAAAGTGTCGGAGGCAGTGTTAAGAAACCCAGACCGACCCAGCCGGGTCGACCCGGGAACTGGTAAACCGGTCATATAATCGGTCCGGTTGAAGCAACGAACCGGTCATGCATCAGAACCAGTGCGACCCGGTCCGACCCGGCCAATTTTCATGAAAACCGGTGACCCGGTCGGTTAACCGGTGACCCGCCCAGTCCCAAAAAAAAATCCAATTATTTTTTTTCAAAAAAAAAATCATAATGGACATATTTCAATATTTTTTTTGCTTATTGATTTACATAAGTTATGTACCTACAACACTAATATTATCTCAATTATGCACTATACAAATTTTTTTGATTTGATTTATAAATAGAGATGTCGTTTTCTGAACCTAAAGCCCCGTATCACGATCATTATATTTGTGTTTGATCTTTTATTGGATAATAATATGTGATTTATTATTTTTGATATTAAAATTTTTAACATTTTTTTTTAGATATTTGAGTATGTTTATAATTTTTTAATATAAATTATAAAATTGCATATAATTACCGGGTCATGCGGTTGAACTAGTGACCCAGTGACCCAGTACCTCGACCGGGTCAATGACCGGGCCGGTTTTAATAACAATGGTCGGAGGTGTGTCAGAGCTTTGACCGCATGTCCAAAAATGTTGATCGCGTGTCGGATCGTGTCGGTGTCTGACACGCATTTTTCAAAAAAAAAATGTGTGTCCGTGCTTTTCAGGATGTAGGTATGTTTCTCTCGATGGATATTTTATATCGATATAGTAGTGATTTAGTGGAATAGATGTATAAACTTAATTTTAACATGAGACTCACAATGAGTGAATCTGAGGCTGACAAGGAGTTGATCCTCTTATGTTAAAATTTCACATACAATGTCAAATGAAATTTTTGTATCTATTTCTCTTTTTTCACATCATTAATAGAAAAAGAGATAGATACAAAACTTAAAATGACTAAGTCAAGTGAAATTTTGATATGAGAGCATCTATTCCCGAGCTCTTTGAATATATTCTGACAAGGGAATAAGTGTATAATTCTTCAATGATAAATGAGCGAAAGTCATAACCAATTTTACTATTGTGGGCTCCCCATAACATATGAGGAGAGCATTTTCACATGTTGTAGGAGCTACGAGTAGAGACGAATAAAATTCTATGTGATGAAATAAACCAAACAGGTGGTAGTTTAGTTGCTAGTAAGGGAGTTGAGTAAGTGGAAGAAAAGAATCTTGGTTCGATCTCCACATGTCACCTTTGGGAGGTATTTAAATATTTTCATTCATGACTCGCCTAGGACTTCAGATTAGTCTCATAGCCGGTTCAAAGAGTCGACGTGAGGATATTCGGGGGAACCAATTCGCCTCAAAGAAATAATTATGGTTGGGCTAATTAAAAAAATGTGATAGATAAATACTTGTCTTACTTTAACAATGTAAAGTGTTGAACCAGTGATGGTTCATAGATGTACCTGATGGGACGAAATTTCGTTCCCATCTAAGCCCATTTTGATGGCAAAATACCAACCGTTCTCTCATCTGATGAGCAACTTTAGCATTAAAAGCACGTGTGTTATATCTTTTTTACAAAAACACAGTGGGGAACGGATGATGACGTAATATTTTGGAAAATATATAAAGGGGAACGGATTTGGAACATTAAATACACCTGCTTCACTTACTCAATCTCTCTGACCACTTTTCAGAAAACGTTGAAAAGAAGTTTCCTATTAGCACAAGTAATGCAGCAATTAACCAAGAGGAAACATGCGCAGCAGGGAATAAACAGTTCCCATTGGCTAAGAGGAAAGCAAGGTATGAGGGAGAGCAGAAGGAAAGACAAATCTCAACAATAATTGTCTCATCCAGCCACTTGCGCCCCTCAAATCATTGTTTACACCGCCCCTTTCATGCAGTCAAGAAAACAACCCCAACAGAATTACCCACTTTTCCATTCACTCTTCTGCCTATAAATAGGACGTTCTAGCATGAAGAAAATCATTGAATTCCTTAAGAAGAGATCACTTAGTTTATTTTATAGTTTTCTTTGTATTTGTATAGTTTTAGCTTTAGTTAAGTGACAACATTTCTTCTTCATTCTATATCACCCACTTGAGACTCCTCACGAGCAGCAACCATATTCCCCACTTTTCATTTTGTTGTAATCAATTTGTTTTCATTTAAATACAAGTGTTATTTTTCTCCTTTACATTCGTTATCTCTGAACTGAATCTCGGGTCTATAGGACTTCAGTTTGGAATAATTATGCTTAAACTAGTAGTCATGGGCTAAACTATCTGTGGAATGAAAAAAATGCAAAGTTCTTAAAGAATTATTTTCAAAACTCTTGTATTACAGCTTTTGTGTTGCTTTGGTTAAGTGAGCTATATTCATTGTGTATAAATGGAAATTGAACACATACTGAAAAAGGAACTTTCATAAGGAAGGGATTTCAGACAGCTTAACTAGAAGGGGAAGGCAGTCTTGTGGAAACAAGAATGCTGGTTGCCTTAGGAATAAGGGACCACCTCGTTCACTTGAAGGTCATGTACCCAGTACCTATTGGAGTCAAGGGAGCCATAGAAATATGAAAACTTGTGAGCCATGTAGTCAATGAGCTGAGGAATCAGAGTTGGCAGTGAAGAGACTGGAACAAATACAAAAGTGCTGAGTCTTGAGTAGGGAAAATAAGTTTTTATGAATGGAGCAGTGGATACGTTCATTCTGTTATTACTGTTTTTAAAACCATCCATATTGTTGTCTCTTAATTATTGTTATTACTTTTATTATTCCTTGCTTTATTCAATCTTATATCTACAAAACTCCAATGAAAATTGTCGTATCTTCTTTTATGAAGAAGAATTTCATATATAACGACGTGAAGAGCTATTTGCTGTCAGATTGCACCTACTGTTCTTGAGGAACGTTGTCAAGACAGTAGGGAACGTTTGATCAAACAGGTCAATTACTAACTTTTCTTTTCATTTTCATTCTTTGTAAAATAGTATAAGACATTAATTAGAGTTATATCCTCGTGGGAACGATAATATGGGCATTAATACTCCCATTTATTACTAGATGCGTGCACTTGCGCACTTGAGTTGAAACTAATAGAGCAATTGTGTTTTCTCTTATCGAACTGAGGAACGTTCTACAACATATATATTTTCCACCCAACAAGCTTTTGACCCAACAGTACCCTTTGAGGGTGAAGTATATTAATATAGGGTGTTCATAGTGGCATTGGTAGGAACCAAGGCAATAGTGAAGCTTTCCATGATGCTGCATATGAAAAGCGGAGGAGTGTGTATGGGTGGCTCTCCATAGAGGTAGAGTATCAGCATTAGAGTGAAGAAGATTGGATCCCTCTTCAACGTAATAGGAGGGTATTTAGAGAAGAAGTCCCTCTCAAGCATGGGAAAGAGTATTGGTCAGTCTCATGAGCTGTCACATCAAGCTATGTCTTGTCTTGAGATAAGGCATGCTGCCCACTGTCAGTGTAAAGGGGAAGCAGTGCAGGGAAAAGGGAATATCCAGTGATGAGCCTCTATGGCTCATCATGAATGCCCTCTAGAAGGATCTAGAAGTGGATTTTAGCATTGGTCCCAATTGCTGGGCCTACAGTGGGGTATCCAGAACAGAAGCCCCCAACTTTAGCTTACAGAGTCAGGGTGCCAAGATGTATGACCGCGTGGGCCGGTTACCCGTAGTGTGTAGTGTTCCAAGTAGAATTCAATGTCACTGATCGGTAGCACATCGACCTTCATATCTTGTTTATTCATTGTCTTTGAGTATGGATTGTCTGGTCGGCGATGTTTAAGTGCTTCAGGAGGGCCTTCAATTCTGACTTGCAATTGTGTTGGATTTTTTGTGGTCTTCAAAGTTGTGCCTATAATCTTTACTATCTGATCATTGTTGGTCGTCTCATTATTAAGAAAAGCCTTCAATTGTTGTTGAAGCGGCGATAATTTGATTGTAAGAATAAGTTGGTGGGCCCATGTTGAATCAAGTCGTCTAAGAAAATAATGTTGTAGATGAAAGCATCTTGAGATGATGGAGATAAATATATATATCCTCTTTTTCAGCAATAAACATTATTGGTGTCATGGATATATGATAAACAATGCCTGGTGACTTGGGTCTTTGATGTCCAATTGCTCAGATATGTTGCTCTATGATTATGACCTGCAATACCTAAAATAATAGTATTTAAATGACAATAAAAATGTGTCTAGATAGGACGTTGGCCCGGCGCAAGCCATCTAGGACTTCTGCTGAGGGGTAACATATCCCGAACTTTGTTTGCCGAGGGGTTAAATAAGTGGGAACAGTAAACTTGCGAGTGGACTTTATGTCCATTAATTGTTAGGGTGCTTAAATAAGTGTTGTAACCACATGAGGAAGTATAAAATGCTCAATGTGTTAATCATGAATATACTAGTGGAGAAATATTCTCATTGAATGTTAAAAATGAACATAGATAATTAGAATGTTATAAGAAGTTTTGTGTGTAGATGTTGGTTGGATAGCTTTAAATATGAGAACTTTGTGAGATGGCTTTATGATTCAGATGGCTTTCTTTAATGTTTGTTTTGAAGGGCGCATGTCCCACGAGGAAGTTTGATTGAAGCTTTGGCAGATTTTCTTTGGTCTTTGCATGTTGAGCTTTGGTTGGCTGACTGGGTGGGTAGTATGAAGGTCGGTCCTTCTACTTGCTGATTGGACTGGTAGCGTGAAAGCTGGTCATCCAGTTGGACTGGTGGAAGGGCAGCGTTAAGGTTGATCTTCCTACTTGCTGGTTGGATGGGCAGCGTGAAGGCTGGTTATCTTGTTGGCCGGGCAGAAAGGCAACATGAAGGCTGGTCTTCCTCCTTGCTGGTTGGATGGGAAACATGAAGGTTGTTTATCCTATTTGTTGTTCAGTTGAGTAATGTGGAAATTGGCACGCACGAAATGAAAAGAAGCCAGGGTTGTCAAATTTTTGCACGAAACACCCGCCTTTTGATACTTCGTGGGTCTTTGCACGAAATGAAAAGAAGCCAGGGTTGTCAAATTTTTGCTTTGCATTCCCTTGCTCTTCGTTGGTCCCGCCATTTGAATTTATCTTGGGGAGTTAGCTTGCCAAATGGTAGTGTAATCAATAGTTGTCACATGTCATTGTCATTTTACAAACACCTATCTATTATAATAATCAACATGTGGATGTCGTATCTCCAAATTAAAAAAGATCGGAGGCTCGTGGACGGTTCTGAAATTCAGATTGTGAGGTTGTGGTAACTGCTTCGAAATTCGATCTTCACATTGAATCGCTGCCGAAGTCTACCCTTTCTATGGATTTCGTTCTTCGCAAATCAAAGCAGGCTCGATTCAAAGACCGGTCTTGGCAGCGAACTGGCGGGGACGACCACCGGTTAGGTGGGCTTTGACGATTTGATTAGCGGAGGTGGTTATCTTGATCAATCTTGGCGGGGAGGCACTCGACGAGGTGGGCTCTTGACGATCTGCCTTAATGAGCATCTTCACGCTGTGGTTCATGGGTCTTCAAGGTTCGGTGATCACAACATCATTAAGTCACCTTGGGTACCAAATCGATTAGAGGCCATAGCCGAAAAGGTTCACTTGAGGTTGAGCGGGGAAGATGGTTGTGTGGCAAACACCCCAACTAAGAATTGACCGAAGATGGTGCCTAGACATGACCTAGATGTTCGGCGATGGTAGGGGTTTGTCGATAAACAGGCTAATGATCGGCAGTGGCCCCCTGGGCTGGAGGATAACCGAAAGCGGCGCTCTGAACCGGAGACCGGTCGGTTTTTGCCTCACAAACCAGAAACCGACAGGTGGTGGCGCTCTGAACACGGGTTTGGTTCAACGTAGACTATTGTTTCGAGAAGATGGTCTGAGAATGTTTGGTTGGGATCGAGGTGGGGGTAATGCCATTTTTTCTTTCGTGATGAAGTTGACGAGTTGAAGGAGTTGCAGGATCTACGTTGTTGCGTGAAATAAATCTTGGGTCTGATTCTTGACTTGGTGATCAATTATAGAGGTCGTGATTCTTCATGGTAAGGTTGACGGTATCTTTTGAATCTTTGATCGAATTTTGTCAAGCGAGTGGATGTTTGAGAGCCTAGAAGACATCGAAGGTGACTCAGTGGAGCGCTGTTCTTGGCCCTTTACACAGTGGTTCCTTTGGCTAGTGCTGACCTTCGTGACGACCAATACGACTCCGTTTGTTATCGGTATGTAAGGATATAATCTCTTTTTGGATCTTAAGGCTTCAGACATGGTAGGCATAATGTTGAGTTCCGCAAATCTGCAGGGAACTGGTGGCTGGTTCCCATATTTTGCCGGTGACTATTTTTCGATAAGAGATGAATCGGTGAAGAGTAGGATTCTGGTTTGCATCAGTGGTATGCGTATCCTTATCAGGTCTGGTCGGCATGCTTTCTATATTTTCCTGGTTGGCACTTGTTCCTTTTGGTTCTGGTTGATTTTTGTGAATAATGGGTTCTAATAATGAATAACCATATGCTTTTCAGATCGATAAAACAACATGTTTTCAATCACTTTTTAATCAAAATTGGTTTTCAACATTTAACGGGTTCTAAAACTGGTTTCAAACCAGTTTTGAAATAGTATAACCGGTTTTGAAAAATATGAAATCAATTCGATTTAAAAATCAAACTATTAAATTTGGTTCAGTCTGGTTCTTATCAAAAACTGAACCAAACTGGTCCACGCACATCCCTAACTGCAACAACATATGCTCCATTTTGGATGTTGAGAATCCCGCTGTCTCTTCCCCAATACCACCAGTTGCCCTTGTGATAGGAGCCACCTGACCTACTAACCTGTAAAATCTCATCATATCAAGAAAAAATCAAGTAATCAATATTGATCACAGAAGCAAAAGGTCGGAATTTGGAACTTCCTATTTGTTATTTTCTGATTTGGGACATGTTTAATTTGTGTCTCCTATGCTCCATATTGACATGTAATAGCAGATTCTAAATTTCATTTAGAAAGGTATGATGAGAAAACTTTGATAGCTAAATGCTAAGGAGTGTCATCCGTCATTCTCACAGCAATAATAAATAATTGCTTCTTATCATTATTAATCCTGGTTGCCCACCTGAATAAATTTATGAATATAAAAAAATCTCTCATGACATGGGCTAGCTCAATGTAAGCCGGGCCGTAGGCTGTGCTGGGCCAGCCTACCCATTTACACCCTTACGTGTAGTAACGTATTTTATATGAAAAAAAAAACAGTACAAATAGTTGTGATTTCTGGAATTTTCTAGAGCATTCTCAAAGCATCAAAAACATCTTCCGAATGCCACGAAGGCTGCGACGCTCGCCCATAAACCCCTCATCAGCACACCGTAGCCCAATTCGAAGTTCAGAATCCTCGTACAGAAAAGAAGAACAACGAAGGTCAGAGAAACTGAAGAAGAGAAAGAGAGGAGACATGGGTGTTGATTATTACAAGATCTTACAGGTTGATAGGAATGCCAAAGACGATGACTTGAAGAAGGCTTACAGAAAGCTCGCCATGAAATATCACCCAGATAAGAACCCAAACAACAAAAAAGATGCTGAATCGAAATTCAAAGAAATCTCAGAAGCCTACGAGGTAAGTTCAGTTTTCTCGTAAAGGGTATCTCAAAAATTTCACCTTTTTCTCAATAACAATAGATTTCAACAACAACAAAATGTGTTTTTTTTTTTTTTTTTTTTTTTTCTGGGTGATGTGTTGATGCTTACTTTCTGTTGGATTTTCTGATAGGTGCTGAGTGATCCTCAGAAGAGGGCTGTCTATGATAAATATGGGGAAGAGGGTCTGAAGGGTCAGGTGCCACCTCCTGATGCTACTTTTGGTGGTGCTAATGGTGGAAGTAGAACCACTTTCTATTCCACCGGAGACATTCCGACGTCGTTTAGGTTCAATCCGCGGAACGCTGATGACATTTTTGCTGAGTTTTTTGGGTCCTCGAGCCCGTTTGGGGGCATGGGAAGAAGTAGTGGTGGTGGTGGTGGTGGCGGCGGCGGCGGCTTTGGAATGAGATCGAGGTTCTCTAATGGGATGTTTGATGATGATATGTTTGCATCTTTTGGGGAAGGAGGAGGAGTTCATGTGAGTCAAAGTGCCCCTCGTAAGGCTCCTCCCATTGAGAACAGGTTGCCTTGCTCTCTCGAAGATATTTATAAAGGGACCACTAAGAAGATGAAGATTTCTAGAGAAGTTGTTGATGCCACTGGGTGAGTTGTTCTGCTTTGTTATTTCTAATGCTATGTTTAGTGCTAAGGTTTTTTAAATGGTTCATTTTTTGTGTGATAGATGGTATAGCATTTATGAGAATTTTGAGTTTGAACCAATGTAGAAACATATAGGTGAAGAAGAAATTACTTGGCTGCTTAACAATTTTGATTGGATTCATCACTATAATGCTCTGCTGAATTTTGTTTGTATTTGATTTTGTAGTCAATACTTTGCGTGAAAATTCACACCTGAAAACTTACACTTGCGAATTTGATCTTTTGTGTGGATACCCTTTTTTTCAGTGTTGAATGGTATTCTTCATTTATTTATTTATTAATTCATTCAACCTGGATAGAATATGCTGGAAGACTTTGTAGTTCCGATTGATGCATTAAATTGTTTTGTGTTATTGTGTGGCATTTGCTTCTTTGTTTAGAGAAGAAAACCAAACCACCTAGAAGTTTCTAATAATTTTTAAATGATTATTTGAACATAACATGCTTTGTACTTTGATACATACAACAGTTGATCCCCCCTTCCCTGTAAAGTACTGATGGTTTAGAGTTTAACTGAATCATTTTTTAATTGCACTTGGTAGTTTTCCCTTTGATACATATGTAGCAGTAGTGTTGTTTTATGAGTTGTAGTAGACATCAGATAGGATGGTTATGCTGGATGTTAAGTTAGAGATCTATCGTTGTAAACTATATATTTTGGTAACTATTGCTATTTTGAATCATGAATTTATGGAATTTTAACCTATAATCATTAAGGGTTATTAATAGCTATTCAGTAGCTGCTTGGCGAATTGCTATGTCAATAACTTTTGCTTTTATAATCAATTGTAATGTTATGCTACTAAGGCATAAATACCTATGCTAGAACACTAGCGTTTGAGCAATGCCCTTTTAGCTAATGGTGTATAACAAAATTGGCGGATCACATTGCACATATATCAAGAAGTTTATCTCTCTAGTTTTTCAGGCTATATCAGTCCCCATTTTATTCTAGTCTAGAGCTGAAAAGTCTTCTGCGAATGAACGATTTGATGATATCTTCTTTCTTCTTTCTGTTTAGCGCTGCAATAGGTTGTGTGCAATAAACAGAGCAATAACTGTGTTGCTCCAATGAAATAGTGGATTTACAAATTATGTTAGAGCTAAAATTTAGCAGTTCTGGCTAGGAACTTGGAGGTTTTCCTTAGCATAATGGATTTTGTCGGTTAGTCCGCATAATTGCCTCTAATTTAAGTATCAAATTTTATATTTAAGATATCTAATTATGGAATTAAGGCCTCTTGTTGTAGAATGCTCCATTAATTATTAGGTTGTTAGCTAAACCTTAGAAGAGTACACTGAACTTTTATTCCCATGAGTATTACATGTATAGTGCAAGTTGAAGTTGTAGTAGACATGATATAATCTATCTTGTAGTTGTCCAAGGCTTTATCAAGTTCATGGGGCGCGATGATTTCTATATCTGTTATCCTTTATCTTTAAGAACCATAAATATTACATGGATATTTCTTATGCATTATCTGCTTTAAGTAATTTTCTTTGTGTATAAAGAAGTTGTTATTGTAACTTGAACTTATGACCTTCCATCCTAAACCCCACCAATCCGAACCACTTGATCGTAGTGTTTAAATGAATTTTTGAAGTTAAAATATCATTTATGGTGCTTTCAGAATTTCATTATTTTTGCAACAAAATAAAAGGAATGTAGCTGCTGATTTCCATTTTACAAATTTGTTATTATTCAATCAGAATATAGGATCATCTTATTTTCAGATTGTAGGTTTAGCTTCCTATTTTATTGTGTTGATTTTGTAATCTTACTTCTTCTAACTTCGGCCAACTCTTAATAAATTTTCTTTCATCTCCTTGTGGGTGCAGCAAAACCATGCAGGTGGAGGAGATCTTGCCGATTAATGTCAAGCCTGGTTGGAAGAAGGGGACAAAGATCACCTTCGCAGAGAAGGGAAACGAACAGCCAAATGTGACTCCTGCAGACCTTGTTTTCATTATCGATGAAAAACCGCACAGTGTCTTTACCCGTGATGGTAATGATCTGATTGTAACCCAGAAGATTTCTCTTGCAGAAGCCTTAACTGGTTACACAGTGAACCTCACTACATTGGATGGTAGAAACTTATCCATACCAATCAACAATGTTATTCCTCCTGATTATGAGGAGGTTGTTCCAAGAGAAGGAATGCCACTCCCAAGGGATCCAACAATGAAGGGTAACTTGAGGATAAAGTTCAACATCAGATTCCCAACCAGGCTCAATGCAGACCAGAAGGCAGGAATCAAGAAACTCTTGGGATCCTGAAATATATAAATTGTCACAACTCTTGTGGCGCCTTTCTTTGAAAATATATATTAGATTACCAGAATCTTGACAGGAGGGTGAATGGGATAATTTGGTTGTTTTTATATATTTATTTTAACTTAATATAGTGATTAAATTTGTAGTCCCGGCATTGGTTTTTGGTTAAAAAGCTCTTTTAAAGTGAGCTCATAAAGTGCACTGGTAACAATATATTTCACCATTGAGTTTTAGTATGATAATAAGGTATACATGTGCAGTGATTTTCTTCTTGTAAATTGATATAAGGTGTATATATATGCAGTGTGGATTTTGTCTGATAAAGGGTGAGAAAAGATTTTCAATCGCCCTAGTACAAAATGAGAATGCATTATAATAAAGGTGGAGAAAAGGATCACTCTTGATATATGGCTGAGTTCTCCATGCATTAAAATCTTGTCCATTTAGTAGTTCCTTTCATGTATTTGCACGTACAATCAATTCTGGCCCAATTCACTAGAAAATCTCGTACATGAATTGGTTCAATCATAACATGGGGTTGGGCCGGTTGGGATACCGCAAGGAAAAATAAACCATATCATAGGAGTGCTTGAATGATAAAGCATATGAGAATAGTTTCACCTATTCTGTTATTCATCATTGCAATAAGAGTTTAAATACCTGGAAAACGATGATATATGGTACATTTTTATGACATATTGGAAACACTTTCATGTACCCCCCGGGGAATAATGCCTTGTAAAGTTGTAGTCTTTGTTTTTTGGGCTTTGGCCCTAATTTGATTTTTTTTTTTCAAAAAAAAAAAATGTAACAAAAGGAAAAACCATACATAACACCACCTAAAAGAAACCTACTATAAATCGATAACTAGAGAAGATATATATTCTAGAATACCTGAAGCCTATAATTTATAGATATCAATCTTTGGTTCTTTAGCCATGTGCAGAGTCTTATAGCTTTTCTTTGCTGGCATGGACAATATTAGTATTCAGGTAGGCCAATGCCATATCTATAAACACTGGTAGTTGTATGACATTTTGTTTCATTCTTCAGTTCCGTGTGGAAGTTCATAAAACTATTTAATAAACCTAACAAACACATACCTAAATTTGGAAAGAGATTGAACTTGATGAGGACAGCAAATGCTTTTACTTTTATATTTTTTAACCCAAAACAAAATTGAGAAATAATTTCGAGTCACATAACATTCATATCAATTGCGTTACAAAAACAACAGCAATAACATATTGAGTTATTCTTTTTTCGCTCCTTGCATGAGACATTTCTTCAATTTTGTGCAATGAATATCCACAAATTTCTACTTGAATTTTGTTGACTGTCAAGGTGCACAAGAGAGAGAGAGAGGGGTCTGGATATATAATGAACAAATATTCACATGATGTCATTTTTTATGGAAAAAAGGAAATGACATATAATATGTTATTTAAAATTAATCAAATGTGCTCTTAATCACCAATAAGAAGTATTTAAATCAATAAACAAAAAAAAATTAACATGTGAATTTGTAATGCATGTCGTTCTATCAAATTAATAGTGTCATTTTTATTAAACAAAGTAAAGACTTGACTAGTACTAGAGTAGGTGTTAAAAAGACTTACATAAAGATAAATCCACAAGAAAAAGAGAGTGAAATGAAAAATAAGAAATAAGAAAAGAATAACACATTTTTTATAGATCAAATTGCATATCAAAAATAAAGAAATAAGTAATAAGAAGCATCCCTCAACTCTTCCGCATCAAAGTATACACTACATGTGCATTTTTCCTTAATTTTATCTTCGTATGCACACTACATGTGCATGTTTTTACAATAGTGGTAGGCTGGTAGCTGCTGCGAGTTGACATGCATTTCATCATGGAAGCGTCCATGTTAAAAAGGTATCCTATTAGTCTTAGAGATTCCAAGCTATTTTTTTCAACACCACAGTGATTTTGGGCAACAAAGTGGAGTCAAAAAAGAAGTGTGCACAACTAACTTTTTGAAAATTTGTTGGTGATGCTTAATGATTCATCAATAACAATCATTCATTGGAAACTAATCAGAGTAATTTTATCAGTGCCATCAATTCAATATTCGTTGTCCCCACAAGAGGACTACCACCACTACTTGCCAGTTTGAATAGTATCCACTACTATATCATGTGGAAGATTTTGTCAAATGAACACTTTATTGTTTTGGATGTTGCTGACAGCACTATGCTATGTATGTTAGCAGCCTTTAATGTTCTTTTTTCTTCTTTCTTCTTTCTTTTTTTCTTGAGATATGTGGAATGTCATAAAAAAACCGTAGTGAGACAAAAGCTCAAAGTGCATATTGTTCTGAAGCAGTGTCCGAATATTTTTTTGCATGTTTATTGAAACCTCCATTAACATTTTTGAGAGGACGTTTGGATCACCCAAATGGGAGTTTTGAGAGACTAAACGTGTTTGATTTTACTACTAAAACAGCTTTTGGTTTAAAGCAAGAGTGTATATTTGCTTACTACACTTTGGATAAATTTGATTATAATTGAATGATACAAACTGTATAATATGAAGTAATATATGCAAGAGTGTACGGAAAATATTATTTATAAAACAAATTGACCAAAGAATGTTATTCAAATAGAAGATATAAATGTAGGCCTGAAGAGTCAAAAAAGCAAGCAGAAAGTTGTTAAATTCAACAGTGGCTTTCAGGTTTGGGACATGGCCCTTGAAAGCTACTCCAACAAGTTTCAAAGCTGTCTTTTTACGTTCAAAGTGTTCGACCTTCCCTAGTGCAGAATTCAGACTACTAGGGAATTCGGATGCAATCTTTATCATTACCAACAACTCCCTTTTGTCTCTTTTTTCTTGGTAGTTGACCCAGAGAGTCCCACACACTGCGTGGCTTGAAATTTCATTGTCATTTTCGGTGCTTACTATATTACTATTTGCTTGCATGTGCTGGTTGAAGTTTTCAACTTGAGAAACGTTTTTGGTGCCATTTTGGTTCATTCTCTACCCACCCATTTATTAATAATTATACAAATTATTAAGTTCATTGGTAAAGTTACTGCTTGCATATATTTTTATGGCTGTGGTTCTAATTGTACTCTTAGTGAGAATCAACTCATGTGGCTGCCACATCTCCTATTCTTATGCAAATAATTGAATTCTATTTTGCACTTGTGCATTTATGGTCATCTTGATCTAGTAAATATGCATAAGGTAAAAGTCAATATTTCCAATACATTTATTTACATTGAATGCAACTATGCAGTTCTCAATGAGAATTATTTATGGGTCTCTCTTTTTTTCTCTCAGATTAAATTTTGTGACTTTATTTTAATTATAACGGCATGTTTTGTAAATGTACATATTTTTTTATTAAAACTAGTCAAAGATAAGGTTAGAATAATGTATATTATTTTTCAATACTATTTCGTTTTTTTACATTGAATGTTTTTATCTTCTTTCTTTTGGTTAGTATATAAATTTAGGGTATCTACAAGCTTTTTTTAAGCTTTAATAAAGGCTTAAAATATCTTTAAAATGGTTTAAATTGTATTTATAGATCATTTATTAAAACTTTAAATGAAATTCCAGTTTCTATAGTCCTAGTAATATATATAATTTATAACACTAGATAATTTTACTCATTTGAATTTTAATATCTGTCATTATAATATCAATCTTTATATTTTTCACCCATTTAAATTTTAATTCTTATAATTTTTAACCATTAAGATATTAATATTTATTTTTTGAGAAATTAATCCCTATATTTTTAATTTATCAAGATAATGGTATGTAAATGAGTAAAAATATAACCAAAAATACATACAAAAATTTCAAAGACTATAATTAAATTGGTAAAAATATAAAAAAAAGCTTGTTCAAAACCTTCGTTAAAAACACTATTTACTCAGAAAATTGAACAAATTAAAAATACTCCTAATTATTATCATCTAGGAAAACTCCAATTTTTTAATGTTCTTACATGAAAAGTTTTAAATCTTCATCTCTGTACGTCCACGATGGTTTTTTGTTTTTATCTTACCTTTGTTATGATTTTTCATTTAATTGCATACTTAATACTATTAGAAAATTAGGTAACCCAACGATTTTACCCCCATAAAACAATAACTTCTTATTTTCAAGTTTGTAGGGATTACCATTTGCATAAACGACACCATTCTAACTGAATACCTTTCCAACATGATTTATTTGAAACCCAAAGCCTTTGCTCGCAACAATTTTTTACACACAAATTTATAATAATAACAAAGGAAAATACTACTCTCATTTTATATGAGAACAATTATCTCATGTTATAGAAAGAAATCATGTGGGATCTACTATTAAAAGGAAAAAAAAAGGAGTGAAATTTTCGAACTAAGGGAACATGAGATAACTACAAATGAGACTAATATTAATATTTTCTTAATAAAAAAGAAAGACATGTTTATAAAAAAAAAAACAAAGAAAGACATAGTGAAGATAAAATAAAGAGCTAAATAAATAGAATGTAAAAATATAAATGCAATCTAAAATAAAATTAATGTCTTGCATATAAAAGTATGAAAATTGTAATACGCATAATAGGAACTTGAGACTTGATACCACATTCTCTCTCTCCCTCTCTAATTTTCTTGTCATATTCTCTATCTGCTCTCATTCTTCACTGTTATTCAATAAATTGTATTAAAAATAAGGGAGAAATTATACTTATCATTATTTCAGACTTATTATTCTTATTATCTGATTGGTTACTCTTACGTCAATTTGAAATTAACAGTTGAAAAATGAAAAAAATTAACTGTCATTAATTTCAAATTGATCCAATAAAGTAGTAAAAGTGATAAACTTAAAATAATGATAAGTATTGTTACCAAAAAAAAATAAAAATAATGATAAGTATAACTTTCCCTTTAAAAATATCTAAAAAAATATATTTGTTAAACAAAATATTGCTTCAAACACAGTTTTTCAAATATTTTTCAGGGTTGAGACTTTGAGACCACATTTCAAACTTGTTTGATAATTAGGAAATGACAGTTTTCCAAAGCATTATTCTTTGAACATTAAAAGATGTCAATTTCCAACGCAAGAGAGATATGTGATCAATAATTAAAAAAGCAGTGTATTAAAAAAAAGTAAAAAAAAATTGATGGTATTCATCTTTATATTAAAAACGATCATATTTTCAGGGAAGAAAACGCAAAACAGAGTATGGTGTTAATTATGACTTTGTAACACACATTTTCCTCCCAACTTTCTCATGCATTTCGTTTCCCTCTCACGTTCATAGCACACTCTCTCTCTCACTATTTCTATCTCTCTCTCTCGCCTTTGCCATTGTTATGTAACGCAGAGCATAGCATAGCATAACATAGCATAGTAGCAACGCAACCATGGTTCACCTCTTCCACCTTCTCCTCCTCTTTCTCTCTCTATCTCATGTTCTCTCTCTAAACCAAGATGGCCTCTTCCTCATGGAAGCTAAGCTCCAACTCTCAGACCCAACCAATTCTCTCTCTAACTGGAACCACCGTGACCCCACCCCATGTAACTGGACCGGCGTAACCTGCCACCGCATCACCGGCGTCGTCACCGCCGTCAACCTCCCCAACTCCCAACTCGCCGGTCCCTTCCCCACCGCACTCTGCCGCCCTCCATTTCTCTCCTATCTCTCTCTCAACAACAACAACCTCAACTCCACCATCCCCTCCGCCGCATTCTCCGCCTGCACCCGCCGCCTCCGCCACCTCGACCTCTCCGGCAACCTCTTCACCGGAACAATCCCGGAAACTCTCTCCGGACTCACCTCACTCCGCCGCCTCGACCTCTCGCAAAACAATTTCTCCGGCGACATTCCGGCGAGCTTCGGCCAGTTTCAGCGCCTTGAGTCGCTGGTCCTCGTGAACAACCTTTTGAATGGAACCATAGCGAGTTCTCTCGGTAACATTTCGACACTGAAGGAGCTTCACCTCGCTTATAACATCTTCTATCACGCTATACCGAGTGAGTTGGGGAACCTTACGAACCTCGAGGATCTTTGGCTCGCAGGGAGTCACCTCGTGGGTTCGATTCCGGTTTCGCTTCGGGGTTTGGTTCGGCTTCGGAACCTCGACTTGTCACAGAACATGCTCACGGGGACCATACCGGAACAAGCGTTGTCGGGGCTTAGCAGCATTGTGCAAATCGAGCTTTATCAGAACTCTCTCTCCGGCGAGTTACCCGGTGCCGGATTTTCCAACCTGACACGGTTGGAACTTTTCGATGCTTCGGCGAACGAGTTGACTGGGACGATTCCTGACCAGTTATGCAGGTTGAAAACGCTTGTCTCTCTAAACTTGGATCTTAATTTTCTCGAAGGTTCTTTGCCGGAGAACATAACAGTGTCTGAGAGCTTGTATGAGTTGAAATTGTTCAACAACTCGCTCTCTGGACCGTTGCCGAGTGCTCTGGGGAAAAACTCGCGGTTGGTGATGCTTGATATTTCGTTTAATCAGTTTTCCGGTGAAATTCCGGCGGGTTTGTGCGGTGGTGGAAGGTTGGAACAGTTGTTGCTAATGTACAATTCGTTTTCGGGGGAAATCCCTGAGAGTCTCGGGAATTGCAAGAGCTTGTTAAGGGTTCGGCTTAGGAACAATAACCTTTCTGGTGTTGTTCCTGATGGTTTTTGGGGTTTGCCTCGTCTGTATTATTTGGAGCTTGTTGAAAATTCTCTTTCTGGGCCGGTTTCTAATGCAATTTCCGGTGCTTATAATCTGTCAAGTTTGTTAATTTCGAGGAACAAGTTTTCTGGGTCGATTCCTGATGCAATTGGGTCGTTGAATTGTCTTGAGCAGTTTGATGCCAGCCATAATAGTCTTACTGGTCGGATTCCGACCAGTGTGGTCAAGCTCCGCCAGTTGGATAGGCTTATTCTGAGTGACAATAAACTTTCTGGAGAAATTCCTGGTGGAATTGGTAATATGACAATGCTTAATGAGCTTGATTTGGCGAATAATGGACTCGATGGCAATATTCCAAGAGAGTTAGGAACTTTGAAGGTGCTTAATTATCTTGATCTTTCTGGTAATGCCTTTTCTGGTGAAATTCCAAATGAGCTGGCAAATTTGAAGCTTAATTTGCTGAATTTGTCAAACAATTTTCTTTCTGGGCCTATCCCTCATATTTATGACAATGCGAATTACAGAGATAGTTTTGTAGGAAATCCGGACCTCTGTGGTGAACTTCGTGGACTATGTCGAAGCTCTGATGAAAGTAAGAACAGCAAATATGCACGGAGTTTTTGGTTAATATTTGTATTTGCTGGGATTGTGTTAATCATTGGGGTGGTATGGTTTTACTTCAAATTCCGGAACTTGAAGAAGATGAAAACGGTATTGAACATGTCAAAGTGGATGTCATTTCATAAGCTGGGCTTCAGTGAGTTTGAGATTCTTAAATTCCTGAGTGAAGATAATGTAATAGGAAGCGGATCATCTGGGAAGGTCTACAAAGTAGGGCTGAGTAATGGTGAGGTGGTGGCAGTGAAGAAATTGTGGGGAGCAGATAAGATGCAAAATAGAAGTGTTGATACTGAGAAGGATGGATTTGAAATTGAAGTTGAAACACTGGGAAAGATTAGGCACAAGAATATTGTGAGGTTATTGTGTTGCTGCAAGTCTGGGGATAGCAAGCTCCTAGTTTATGAGTATATGCCAAATGGGAGCCTGGCTGATTTGTTGCATTATAGGAAGAAAAGCTTGTTGGATTGGCCAACTAGATATAAAATTGCTATTGATGCTGCTGAGGGACTTTGTTATTTGCATCACGATTGTGTCCCACCTATTGTTCATAGGGATGTAAAATCTAGCAATATCTTGCTAGATGGAGAATTTGGTGCAAAAGTTGCAGATTTTGGAGTTGCCAAAATTGTTAAGGGTGTCAGCCAAGGGGAAGAATCCATGTCTGTGATTGCTGGATCTTATGGTTACATTGCACCAGGTACCACCTTAAAGTTGAATTCTTAATCTTTCTTTCTCATTTTTGATTGCTGAATAAGTGTTTATTCATGTGCTTCATTAGTCTGTATAAATTTAATATGGTTTGTTGGTTCAATGTGATGCAGAATATGCTTATACTGTTCGGGTGAACGAAAAGAGTGACATTTATAGCTTTGGTGTAGTGATTTTGGAGTTGGTAACTGGAAGACCCCCTCTTGATCCAGAGTATGGCGAAAATGATCTTGTTAAATGGGTTTACTTAACTTTGGATGAGAAAGGACAGGATCAAGTGATTGATCCCACTCTGGATTTGAAGTATGGGGAAGAAATCAACAAGGTACTTAGCTTGGGGCTTCTTTGTACCAGCCCTCTTCCTATAAACCGCCCTTCAATGCGCAGAGTGGTAAAAATGCTGCATGAAGTAACTTCAGTTCGCAAATCCAGGAGTGGAAATCTCTCTCCTTACTATCAAGAAGAGGTCTCTGACAATGATAATCAGGGAAGCATAGTTTAAGTTAGGGGCTTAAAAAACAAGATATTCAGCTTCAGTTTTCATTTTTTAACTTTGGTACTTAAAAATTAGTCCTTTAGGTGATAGTACTTGAAACAGCCATTGTAGCGAATGGTAAGAGAGACTTTGCAATTTCAATCATGCCATTGTCTCAATTCCAAAGGAATATCTACTTGGCTTTAAACTATAATATATTCTTGCAAAAAATCGTTATCTGCAAATGTTTATCTGGTATTGCCGCCAATATCTACTTGCCTAGGTGCTTATCTGTTTTTGTTGGCTTTTTAGGAATGGCTATTATGCCAACCCCATACCTCTAGGATGGACTCAGTAGCTCACACTAATATTTTGGGATATTATGTGATTTGAAGTTGTCACATATCATGGCCATAAACATAAAATGGTGTCACGTGAAAGTACCAAATCGAGATACTTTTTGGAAGACTGTTTATTATTATTTTTAGTTTATGAATTGTGCATGATCATTGATGTGGTTGATAGAGTGAAACACGTTTTAGATTGGTTAATGTAACTCCCACACGAAGAAGTGCTATTGCACACAGGAGCGGGTCTAAAGTTGTTGAAAATGGGTAACATTCAAGCATACAAATTTAAAACTCTCTTTCATCATATTAGCCATTAGCTTTTTTGTTCGCATGAAGTTTTTAAACTTTACTTTCTTCATATGAATGAATAAATTTCAACGAGAATTTGTTCCTCATCCTTCTTTATTGTGTTACTGCTTCTGACCACTTAAAGTTTGGTTTCATCATTGATTACACATTACGTTATTTGAATATAATATTAAGGGTCTAACTATCTAAGTAAGGAAAGGAATAAAACAAAAAGTGGCATAATAGATTACCAGATTTCTGACATTAACATCATACCTAACCTAAGACATGGCATAGGCCAATTGAATTACAAAGTCGTTTGGGTTAAAGAATCATCGTCGAAAAGAGACATTTGTGTGAAATTCATTGATCTTTCCTTGTTTGCACATATAAAATGTCATCTGCAGTGGCATTTCTTTGTGAATTTCTCTTTTTAGGCCAAGTTAGCAACATATGTTATCTCCTGATCCAACGTTTTTCACTCATCATCATCATTTTGGATAGTCTATATAAAAAATAAAATAAAAAAACGTTAAGTTAAAGTATCTTTAGGAGTTATGATCATGCAAGAGCCAGAAAGAAAGGGAAAGTATAAAAAGAAGTTAACAGCTAATTATTCTTATCTTATTTCACTTCGAATAATCCAATCTTTTTATTCATTTCAGTTTGATAATCATGTAATACTATATAATATGGATTTATTATTTCTCGTATTGTAGGAGATAAATTTATCTCCTACACATATATAAAAGTATATGAAACTCATTTATCTCTGTTTTTTTTCATCCATATGAACTTCATATATTTTTATGTATGTATAGGAGATAAAATTGATCTCTTATAACATATGAATCATTAAACCCATATAATATATGAGATCTATTAATCTCATGTTGCATGAGATAATTATTTCCCATAATATATATGGTGCTGCCTAACAACCTGTAAGTTTATGCTTTAATGAATGCATGACATTCTCGATATTTAGCACCAAGTATCACGTACATTGGCAATTAAAGCCAACGATTTTCTTATATGCATGGGTCCCATTTTGCTATATTCATGATACACGTTCTGCTGATTCCTGAGCATGTCGTATGCAAGCCTATTCAGTGTGAGTTCCCTAATTATACCTTGCGTAAAATACTCTCTCTTTATTGTAAAATAAAAAGGTATGTTTACATATTGGTCTTGCTAAAATGCAAAAATATTCCCTCTAACTGTAGATGTAAATTTTTGTTCGGAATTTTAAATTTAGCAATTTAACTTGTTAAACTTATTAAATTGTGCGTAGTTATTGTAAATTTACTTCCTTATGCATGTCCCAAAAATTCTATAAAGAAGTCAACATGCATAATTTGTCAAGTTTGAAGAATTAAGTTTGAGTTTCAAATCACAAAAAGGTTTTATGCAATTAACATATAGTTGAAGGATTCTTTGCTGAGTTTAACATATTTTTTTTAGTAGATTAACATATTCTTTTCAGTATATTAATATAACTCATCGTAATAAATTTTTTTTATATATCTAACATGTGTTGAGATAGAAAAATATTGTTGACTTGATTGCGCAATATTATCTAAAATTCTCACTTACCATATTTATACTTCATTATATGTCCTTGCGAGGGTAGCAAAAAAAATTATATACTCAATCTTACATTTATATTTTTGCAAATATATTATTTTTCATATTTTGACCCATAACCTTTTTTACCGCTACACCAAGTCTTACATTCAATCTCATCATATGAGAAATGTTGTATATTATAGTCTACTAATATCTCTCTATTTATATCTAGACATAGGAACCCAACGATTTTCACCTTTGGTACACAAATGCATTAACGGCCAAAGGATATCCCAATAGCCGCCAGCACATAAATAAATGTAGGGGACAGTACTTCCAATCTTGGCGAAACTCATTGTATTACAAAATCTTTCTGGTTTATATAGATAAAGCAATTGTGTAAAATGAACTTGAGAAGTAAGGATCTTAGCCCAAAAAAATTGAACCTCCAATATGTTATTGTCTCTTTCCTTCACCTAGTACTTATTTTGGCACGTGGACAATTTTGCTTTTGCCATGTGGCAATAGATAGTATGCTGCAACTATCAAAGACGTTGAGGGCTAAAGACTGTCTACAAACATTGAGAGAGGTTTCTTGCTATGCATGAGAAGTGGACATGAAGGAATGAAATTATGGTTGGCTGAAAAATGTTTTCTTCAATGTTATTTTTAGTTTTATGGTATTTAACTTTTTAACTTTATCTACACTCCAGGGTGACATTGGACCTAAGTTCTCACTCTTTGTGCATGTACATTAGGTTGCCCCAATGCCACTCAACTCTTCTATTTAGGGGTGTTCGCGGTCTGGATTGGATCGGTTTTGGAAGCAAAAATCATCTGATCCAATCTCTTCGGTTTGATCATATAATCATCCATTCGGTTTTGATTTTTTTCCAAATCCGATCCGATCCAATCCAATTTTTTCCGATTTGGATTGGATCGGTTTTCGGTTTTTTGAAAATACTAAAATTTATTTCATGATTATTGTGCAAATAACATCTTTTGTATATATTGGCTTTGTAAATTTTTTTTTGAAATACAAAAGCATTAGTAAACTATAATATAATTTTTTTAATTTTGGCAATGAGGTATGAAGCTTTATAAAGATAAAATTTTGTTGATGAGATATGACTAGAATTTTTCTTGGAATTAGTTGATGGGTTAATGGGTCTTGGGTTTAGAAATTTTTAGGCTATGATTAGGGAAATATCCAAATAGGTAGAGGAAAATTAATATATTGGATCGGTTTGGATTGGATCGGTTTTCATCAACTCATCCAAAAACCGATCCAATCCAATTAAAATTTGCGGTTTTTAATCGGTTTTCGGTTATCGATTTTTCGGTTCGGTCGCCGTGATTTGAATCGGTTTGGATCAGTTGATGAACACCTCTACTTCTATCCATATTTTAGTTTTCTTAGTTAAAACTGGTTTTATTTTAGATTCCATAATCCATATTTTAGTTGTTGGTTTCCAAGTTAGAGTTGGATTTATTTTAGATTTTAATTAAAGCTACCTTTAGTCAGAGTAAAAAGGACAAAAACCTATATTTATTCTTCTACAAGTCTTCATACAAATATGCAAAGCAAAACAAAACTTGAGATCAAAGCAATCTTATATTTTTTATTCTTATCTCTCTGTGCAACCAACCCTATCTCTAATTGTTAATTTCATTCTCTATTTAGAATTTGTAGGTATCACACTCTCTCCTCTTTCTCGTAAGAGCAAGATCAGGAGGTTGGGAAGGGCTGCAATATTCACTCATGCAAAAGAAAGCAACAAAAAAAGTAAGGGAGAATTTAATTCCTTCCCAACCCTCAACAAGAACTGGCACGAGGGGAGCAACCTTTAGTAGAGACAAGTTTTTCTTTTCTCCCTCTTATTAATTATCACCACTTTAAATTCTTCTCTTAACTCAACCTATCTAGAAATGGAATGAGGGAGGATAAGAAGGAAATGACTCAGTGCAGTTACCCTGAAAACAATCATAGCATCATTGTGGAGAGGCACAAAGACAGCTTAATCAGAACATGTCCCACATGTGGTCATCATATCAAAAACCAAGAGCAGGTTCATATAACTCCTTAATCATTTCTTTTTTTACTATTTTTGTTTTGTGAAATTATTGATCTTAGAGTGTTTACTTTTACTATGTTTTTGGGGTGTCGATGGATAATTATAAATATTGTGGTGTTAATTAGGCTGCTGGAATTCATGACTTACCTGGACTACCTGCTGGAGTGAAGTTTGACCCTACTGATCAAGAGATTCTTGAACATTTGGAAGCCAAGGTGCGCTCTGATATTCACAAGCTTCATCCATTAATTGATGAGTTCATCCCTACACTTGAAGGCGAGAATGGAATCTGCTGTACCCATCCAGAGAAGTTGCCAGGTATATTAAATACAATTAAGCCACCAAATCCTTATGATTGATTTCCATTTCATTTACTCTTTAATAATTTCTGATGAGGACTCTCATGTCCTATATATATAATTTACATTTTAATTTTCATTAACATATGTTGATTGCCAACATAATATATATACATAGTTCCTGAAAATATATGATCAGAAGTTTGTTTCCATTAGACTTTAGTAACTTGAAAAGAAGAAAGCAACAGATTTCGTTGAAGTCACACTTTTGTGGCAGAAGAACATTTCCTACCCTTTTTTGGTATAAATCATATCCATATATAGCATCTACCAATTAATTACCCGTGACTTTCATATATGCATGCCCTCAGAAACCCTTCCACCAAACCTTGCTGTTACAAGTGTTTATCTTCCATTTCTTAATGATGTAGCACAAAAAAACTCTTCATTTTGGAACAAGTTATAAGCTTTATTATATTTTTTTAATGTAAATTAACATCTAAATGGTTAATTTTGCTGCAGGAGTTAGCAAGGATGGCCTGATCCGACATTTCTTCCACCGGCCTTCCAAAGCATACACGACAGGAACAAGGAAAAGGAGAAAGGTGCACACTGATGCAGATGGCAGTGAGACCCGGTGGCACAAAACAGGTAAGACTAGGCCAATCTATATCAGTGGCAAGTTGAAAGGGTACAAGAAAATTCTTGTGCTTTACACTAACTACAAAAAGCAAAGAAAACCGGAGAAAACAAATTGGGTCATGCATCAGTACCACCTTGGCAATAATGAAGAGGAGAAGGAAGGGGAGTTTGTAGTCTCCAAAGTTTTCTATCAAACACAACCTAGACAATGTGGTTCACTCATGAAAGATTCATTTCCTGCAAAACCAAGTGGCCAAGGCATGCACGAGGTAACTAATCATAAAAACAGTGGGTTTGTCGAGTACTACAATACTTCTTTCATACCCTTTGATCAAGGGGACCAACATAGATCTAACAGTACTCAAATTTCCCATTTTTCTGTCCATGATGGTGCTTCTTTCATTCCTTAAAAGAAGCAGTGGAAGGGAAGAGGAAATGTTAGATGCCATGAAAGGATATGGAATATTAAAATTGTATTCTGCAATAATGAAATAAGTTAATAACCAACACTAGTTAGGTGGGGAAAAGGCGGTACAGAATAAGGAGAATCTGCTTCATCTGAAAGCTTAGTGGTCAGATACTTCTATTGAGACAAACAAGACTTGGCGAAGTAAAGAAATAGAATATTTAGCTGTAACTGTGTTTTCTTTCTTTCTACTAATTTTTTTGAAAGGTAACTGGTATCATGCTTTGTAAAGGGACACAAAAATATGTCAAAGGCTTCATGTCCTTACTCGGGGAAATACTAACCATCAATCTGTACCAACATGATTTTTACCTGAAGCAGTCTTGAACTACAGATTCTAAATGTGCGTTTTTCACTGAATTTTGATTATATATGAGATGTTATATATCGGCTAAAAACGCGTCCATGTGTTGTCACTGAAGAAACTTTGATGCACATAGAATGTTATTCTCTGTTGTCAAGCATCACAGCAAATTAAACCACCCTCGTTATAGGAATACAAATAGCAATCAAAATGCTGACTATAGTATTGATGAGTGCCTTTAAATATGGCGTGCTATTGTTATATCATGCATTGGCTATCTAATAAAAATAATAACTAGTGCCAAAATAACACTAATATGAAAATTACAAGTCATGGTAACTATTCATCAATTTCAGTCCATTTCAGTGACATTTGAACAAGAGAACTAGAATATTATTCTACTCAATCGGGAAAGATAAAGATCAACAGCTTCAAGAACCAAAAAAGAAAGTGCTAGAAAAGAAACATCAGCTATGAAGCCTATCTTTTGACTCAGCTTTAGACAGAACAATGTCGAATCTATAAACTACCATTATATTCAATGCTGCAAGAAATGAAAATTACTATATAATTCTACACAGAAAGAGCAAAGAACACACATTTAGTCAGCTTTTCTTCATCTGCGTCTTCTTCTCGGTCTTCGCTTTCTTTATCGGTGGCTGGCCTGGCCATTCTCCACCCTACATGTCCTTCGGCTGTTTTTCTTGGGTAGTTTGTTTGTACTGAGAAAGTTGAATATAGTGTCAATACTGATTGTGTAATTTACGTGGAGTGCAATCAAGTCAATCAACTTTAAGCCATTAAAGCTGCAGAGCCATCAATCTTCAACCTTAAGAAATTACATTTGCCTGTCGATTTGCGTATTTAGGATAAAGTGTCTTGTGTATCTGGTGCGCACAAGTCTACTCACAAGATATATAACACACAAGTGCAAATGCAGGTAGCATTATTCACATATTTAAATTTCTCCATTATGTTATTTTCAAATTATTGGAACTTAACAAAAAAACAAAATAGAAAAAGATTTTGAATATAAGAACAGAAGACTAACTACCAACTAACAAGAATGTTCTGAGCTTCAATATATCAGAGATCATTAAGAATATCTAACTCTAGGGTAGGTGCATGAATTTTTTTTCTGAAAGGCAAATGCAATGCATATATAGCTAACCAGTTAACACAAGTATTACCTTTCCCATAAACATGGTTCATCTGCACGGTTCATTCTTTTGAAAGTAAGGAGAGAGCACAAATTAAAAGTTGAGATTCAGCTCCTGTACTAGCACCCCAAATTTATGTCTCTTTAAGTTCGAGAGAATAGATAATGCAGCTAAATCATATTTATAGGGAAGTGTTGGCTGATTAGCTACTTATGCATTGTAGTTATATTTGAGAGTGGGGTATTCTTGTGATCTTTAATGTAATGAAGATAGCAAGTTTCTGATTAGTCGGTAGTTAGACTTCTTATTTCCGGGCCTCGTGCCCCCGATATTAAAAAAAAAAACAATGAAGTGTTTTAACACAAATTTTATGTCGATTAAATTGTGATCCAAAACCCTTTTCTTTTAAAATAAAAAAGGACAATAATTTGAAAAGAATATAATGGAGAGGATTAAATATGATAATATTGCCACCTATCCTTTTTTTTTTATTCACACCAAGGGAACTCAAAGTTCAAAACTCAGATACAGTAGCAAGTATTAGAGAAGCACAGGCTTCTCAAGTGATCAAGGATCCTCGCTGGCAATCATTTGGAGGGTCAACATAAACACCAGCTGTCACACCCTGTTAACAAGAATCTGTCTCCACAATAAGTTTCTCAAGGCCGTCCCAGACAGACAATATACAAACTAGAAAGTACAAAAAGAAAATTTGCATAAAAACACTCTGAAAATGGAATTTTCATATTCTTCCAGACTACTACTCAAAGAATAAATGGAATTTTCATTATCAACTAACAATAAGGTGAAAATCAGAAAATGCACAAATGGAGTATAACTAGTACTCATGGAACTTCAGATAATACCTAGGCTAGGCTGCAGGACTACTGCATCTTTCATCAAATCTATCACTAGCCATCTCTCAAAATTCTCTTTACCTCTACTTATTATTATAGAATGAAAACAAGTATGAAGGTGAACCTAAGCTTGCTAATGGGATCCACCCTGCAATCAAATGATGTATCAAAACGCACACTCAAACCAAAAGCAACACGAAATTAACCTTTTCAGTTACTCTAAACTTCAGTCCATAGAGTAGGCTACATCAAGTGATTAATCAAATTCAAAATCATTACAAAGCATAAAGCACCAACATTGATCAAATGCTAATATTTAATAAAAATTTGATTGACACTACATTACACTATACTACCATACCCTAACTTTTCAAGTTTCAAAATTTCTTGGGTAGTTTGTTTGTACTGAGAAAGTTGAATATAGTGTCAATACTGATTGTGTAATTTACGTGGAGTGCAATCAAGTCAATCAACTTTAAGCCATTAAAGCTGCAGAGCCATCAATCTTCAACCTTAAGAAATTACATTTGCCTGTGGATTTGCGTATTTAGGATAAAGTGTCTTGTGTATCTCGTGCGCACAAGTCTACTCACAAGATATATAACACACAAGTGCAAATGCAGGTAGCATTACTCACATATTTAAATTTCTCCATTATGTTATTTTCAAATTATTCGAACTTAACAAAAAAACAAAATAGAAATTTTTTTTGAATATAAGAACAGAAGGCTAACTACCAACTAACAAGAATATTCCGAGCTTCAATATATCAGAGATCATTAAGAATATCTAACTCTAGGGTAGGTGCATGAAATTTTTTTCTGAAAGGCAAATGCAATGCATAGATAGCTAACCAGTTAACACAAGTATTACCTTTCCCATAAACATGGTTCATCCGCACCGTTCATTCTTTTGAAAATAAGGAGAGAGCAAAATTAAAAATTGAGATTCAGCTCCTGTACTAGCACCCAAATTTATGTCTCTTTAAGTTCGAGAGAATAGATAATGCAGCTAAATCATATTTATAGGGAAGTGTTGGATGATTAGCTACTTATGCATTGTAGTTATATTTGAAAGTGGGGTATTCTTGTGATCTTTAATGTAATGAAGATAGCAAGTTTCTGATTAGTCGGTAGTTAGACTTATTTTCGGGCCTCGTGCCCCCGATATTAAAAAAAAAAAACAATGAAGTGTTTTAACACAAATTTTATGTCGATTAAATTGTGATCCAAAATCCTTTTCTTTTTAAAAAAAGGACAATAATTTGAAAAGAATATAATGGAGAGGATTAAATATGATAATATTGCCACCTATCCTCTTTTTTTTATTCACACCAAGGGAGCTCAAAGTTCAAAACTCAGATACAGCAGCAAGTATTAGAGAAGCACAGGCTTCGCAAGTGGTCAAGGATCCTCGCTGGCAATCATTTGGAGGGTCAACATAAACACCAGCTGTCACACCCTGTTAACAAGAATCTGTCTCCACAATAAGTTTCTCAAGGCCGTCCCAGACAGACAATATACAAACTAGAAAGTACAAAAAGAAAATTTGCATAAAAACACTCTGAAAATGGAATTTTCATATTCTTCCAGACTACTACTTAAAGAATAAATGGAATTTTCATTATCAACTAACAATAAGGTGAAAATCAGAAAATGCACAAATGGAGTATAACTAGTACTCATGGAACTTCAGATAATACCTAGGCTAGGCTGCAGGACTACTGCATCTTTCATCACATCTATCACTAGCCATCTCTCAACATTCTCTTTACCTCTACTTATTATTATAGAATGAAAACAAGTATGAACGTGAACCTAAGCTTGCTAATGGGATCCATCCCTGCAATCAAATGATGTATCAAAACGCACACTCAAACCAAAAGCAACACGAAATTAACCTTTTCAGTTACTCTAAACTTCAGTCCATAGAGTAGGCTAAATCAAGTGATTAATCAAATTCAAAATCATTACAAAGCATTAAGCACCAACATTGATCAAATGCCAATATTCAATAAAAATTTGATTGACACTACATTACACTATACTACCATACACTAACTTTTCAAGTTCCAAAATTTCTTCTAATGTCACGTGAATTGCACAATCGAGTCAAAAAGTTCAAAACTTTACCGATCAGCGTTCTTTCTTCTTCTTCCTCAATAGATAAACATGGGTCTCTTCGTATGCATATTCAGGATGGAGATGGTCGTGAGGGACCTCTTCGACGTCGAACACTTGGTCGCACAATTCCCAGAAAAGCTTGTGCGCCTCGGGGGACCTGACCTGATACCCTAGCAAAACGACGCCGTCGTCGGCGAGGAGGGTTTCCATTGCAGAAACCAACGGAGCCACGGTTTCCTCGATGTAAACGACGTCGGTGGCGATGACGAAATCGAAGGGCGGGTTGAGGGAGCTAATCTGGTGCGGGTTGTTCCAGTAGAGAATCGTGTGCTTCAGGTTCTTGCGGAGAACGGGCTTGTTGACCTTGAGGTTGCGCTTCAGTGCGGGCATTACTGGGCCGATGTCGGTGAGGACCAGGTCCGTCAGGCCCAATAGGTATAGGCCCATACCGGCAACGCCGCACCCGGTTCCGAGCTCCACCGCGCGCTTGCCTCGGAAATCGAGGAGGTGAGCGTAAGGGTTGTTAGCGGTGGTGGTGGTATGTGGGGCCCAGCGGTCAACGAATTTGACGAGTACGAGGGAACAGGGCCAGACGGAAGTTCCGACGTGCATGGAGCCGTTGTCTTGTTGCAAAGAGAGAACGGCGTTGCCGACGGGAAGCTCAATCACCGGCGAGTCTGTGAACTTCATGCTTTCTCTCTCTCTCTCTCTCCAAACACCAAAGACAAACAGGTGAAGCTCGAATGGTAGTTGTTTTGGGTTGTGGGCTAAGCGGGTGTTGTTGGGTTCTGGAATGTTCTTATGATATGGGTCATGGGCTGGAATTTAAAAATTGAGACTGGGCCAACTAAACATATGAAATTTTTCTTAAAGAAAGAGTATCAATAAAGGGTAATATTTCTCTTATGTTGCATAAGAGAAGTATTATCGCATGCTCAAACAAAAGTTAGGAGAGAAAAAAAAATTGGAGGTGAGAGAAAAAAATATTGTGAGACCCATTTGAAAAATGTGAGTGTAGGAGATAAATTTTTTTTATGTAACATAAGAAAAGTAATTCCCATCAATAAATTATGGCCTAGACTTCATGCATGGCAACCACCGTGTGATATATTTGGTTTTGTGATTTATCTAAGTTGAATTGTGTTGGGTTTAATATGCTCTTTTCACTTACGCCCAATAGCTTTAGTGAGAGTGAGTCCAAAGTCCAATGTTAACTCATGAAGCTTAGGTTAGTTTTGGATTAGGCAGAGTATATAAACTCTATTTTCTCTCAAGTGCCTCCTAGGGTTGCAGACATCAGAAACACACCTAAGAGGCATACGTTCATCGTCTGAACGGTTGCCCACACGACCACCTGATCCCTTTGAGTCATAGCTTGGAAGATCAACCGTAGAGTGGAATTGCGACCGTTCGTGGTGCGTTGTTGCAGATCGTGAGGCTTGAGGAAGAGAACTGAACGTGAGAAATTGGCACGCTCGCTGCTTCATCTCAGGTAATCAAAGCGGTGTTCTTCATTCCTCATCGCATCGGTACAATGACGCTTTCGCGTTTCTAATGATATACCTTCAAATTGTGTAACTATTCATCAATTTAATTTTTTTTCAGAATGATTTATCAATTTAATGTGAAAAGATGTTCATTCAGATAATGTTTGTTCAAGTCTCACATACATTATGAAAGACTTGAACATATATGAAAGTGATGTGCATTTTTGCAAAGCACAAACTTTTCAAAGAAGTTGATTTTTACACAAATTACACATGGAATTAATGTGCAACTTGAACGCGTATAGTTAATATATGTACGTGTCTTCATATTGAATTGGTAAATTATTTCTCAAAAAAATTAAACGATTAAAGTTACGCATTTTACTTTACACGGGTCAAAAAGCCAACATATTTTCCCTACATATAAACGTTGTCATTTATCATAGGCTGTCAAATCTTTAAACATATGTTACGTTTTCAATAAATAAAAAATTCGTTTTTGTGTATTAATCGTGAACAACAATTTGAGCCACCCCACCCCATCATGTAACCAAAAGTAAAAACAAAATCATAGAGCTGTGAGTGCGGCAGTCAAAACTGAAGAACATGGCTTCTCTTCTTTACTTTTCCCCACTTTTTTCTTTTGATCCATATATGTTTTCTTCCCCTTTTGATCGATATAATGCAACCGAGCATAGGGTCACTGTTAAATATTGTGACGGGATCTAGCTGTGGCTAATACCTAGGTACACAGCTACCTCCAGCTAATTGTTTTTCGTAGGAAGCATATTCCTTTTCCGAAAGGCTCATTCAGTATAGTAGAACAGTAGAGAATCCATAGAAGACAAAATGGTAATCGAAGCATTTTTTTTTTCTTACCTTAAAAACAAAAAGTTATTTGTCCTCGTCAAAACTGACGAAGCTCATAGTTTTTGTATTCTGGTGAATGTTATGTTTTATACTTTTATTATCGAGGAATTCCGGTTATATATTGGAAGCTAAAAGGGTGGTAATGGATTAGACATGCATGTACAAGGACATACCTAATATCCTTATAGAATACTATTAATAAGAAAAAGAGGTTGATTCAATATATTGATTTTATTTAAATAAAATTTTGGGTTCAATTACTTATGAATGCAAAAAAAATTCTTTAGAAAGAATTAGCCCCACAATAATGTGATATTTCCAACTCGTACACAATAGTCTCCCGTAAATGATACATATAATTTATCTAAAAATAAGTAAATACTATTAATGAGAATAAATCTAAGAATTTACATCATAAAAAAAGAATAATCATGATATCTATAATTAAATATTCAGTTATTTACTATAACCATTGAAGGAACATTTGATCATTAAATTAAAAAAAACCCTAATCTACCCTTAAATCTTTCTTTCTTAAGAATATATAAATGATTTAACATTATTCTCTAACGGCCTCTAATCCGTGTCTTGTTTTTTTTTTCTGCACTTATATTAGAAAAGCTAAGATAATCTACACGTATGCAATTTTGGTCGAATCAAAGAGTACATCAGTTTATTTTAAACAGCATGCTAAAAGCCTATTTGTACTATAGAATCATGCTTTTTTTTTTTTTTTTTGTAAATTAGAATCATGCTTTTTTGTCATTGAAAATTCTCTTTTTGAGTCCAGTTTGACAGGCAACAACCACAACAGAGATTAAACTGTGCAATAATGGAGTCCAAAAGCGTTCCTATTCTTTGCCCCCACTACTCCACAAACCACCCCCCTTCCCTTTATACAAAAAATTAAAGCCACCAATTTTAAAAGTAGTCAACTTTCAGGATTCAAAAGAATATGCATGGATCTCTCTTCTTTCGCCCCTTAAATAGTTTTCTAGCAATAACTTTTCAGCCTTCATCAAGCACTCAATTCCCCCCACCTTTTCCTCCAAGCAAAGTTTGGAGATATATACTTAAATTTCATTATTTTTTTGGATTTGTTCTGTCTTTCAGACAGAGATGTTCAGCCCAGTAGGCTGATATGTTATTCTTAGATCTAGTACCCTCTCCAAGTATTTATGAAGGAGATACCCTTGAGTCAAGCAGATCACTGTGCACAGAATACTATAAGGACGTTAGCCAATGAGGTGTGTGTGCGCAACAGCAAGAGTGACGTTACAAGAGTGACAGCATAAAGAGAGAGCGTATCTTTAGGGTTTACCTTATATTTATAGAGGTTACCTGTGGTAGTGTGGATGGACCTTTGGTGCCTCTGATAGGGGCCCAGACCTGCTTGCTATGCTGTCGTATTAGGATTAGTATCCTTAATGAATATTTATCCATAATTATCACTGATTCATATCTTGAATTACCCCTTATTAAGTTTATTACTTAATGGACCCTTTATATGGTACATAACAGGATTAATCAATTAATCCATGGAGGATTAAAAGGATGGCAAAATTTTCCTTACCAAAATTTTAATATTCAAAATTAAAACTCGAACCCACTTATTATATTGAAACAGCCCCTTATCCACGTGATTGATAGTAAATTCTATTCCTCTTGCTCTTACTAATTCCAACTTCATTCACCATTCGCATCATTTATTATCACATTTTTTCCTTTCATTGAGAAAAATAAACAACCAAGAAATTAAAACTTGACATTTCAATACATGATCAAATAAAATCCATTCGTTGATTGATGAAGGGTGGCAAATGGTTTGCACGCACTCCAACACCAAGAAAATCCCTAGTCTGTCCCCATGCATTCTCTTCATTCTGCATTTGCCATCGTTTTGTAGGGGGCATTTGTGACAAATCACCTGAATAGTTCTCTGGCTCACTCCCGTGACTTGTGAGCAATGAATTTGAACCGTATATCCCACAAAATTTGTTCCCATCTTGACTTGGACTATTGCATTTCAAACCTAAGCTTCCAAGGAATGATGGGTCAGTTGAAGTTGTCCCAATTTGTGCAGCTTTTTGCAACAAAGCTGTTGCTGACATGTTTGCTGAGGTTGTTTGATGAGATTGGTGTTGTGAGCTATACAAGGAAGGAACACTAATAAGTTGGTTTGTGTTATCCTTGACATTAATATTGACTAGTGGAAGTGAAGTTGTACTAGTTAGCTCTTGACTTCCATTGGATGAAAGCTTATTACCAAACACCCAATTTAGCTGATAATTAGAGGGTGGTGGTGGTGGATTTGAGCATGAAACAAGTGGGTTCCTCCCAAGTTGATGAATCTCATGCAAATTGGTATTAACCATTGTCTCATGAGCTTGAGATGCTTGAGCCATCCAAAGGGATAGCCCTCTAGTTGTTTGAATATTACTAATTGTTTCATCAGTGCTTGAAATTGGCTTGAAAATTGAAGAAAAATTGGTTCCCATGTTAGGCCCCAGGGAATTTTGCATGACACTGTAACCCACGTTAGACCCCAATGGGTTGTTTATGTTTGCGTTTACCCTTGCTGTTTCTTCTGCTAAGGCATCACAGAAGGCCCTGTGAGTGATGAAGCTATCCCTCCTGCTCCATCAAAATTAATCAAAAAGAGAAATGTTAGAAAAATTGTATCAGCTCACAGAAAGTCTACATGATAGAAAATTAATAGCAGAAGACCAAGAAATTTGTAGGTGTTACCTAGCAAGAGAAAAAATTTCTTACTTTATAACATTTAATGTATATACCACCTCAATTATATCATTAAAAATATAATTAAGGTAGATTAGTAAAAGAAATTAAAACAGAATAATATTCACATAAGGAAAGGTTAATTAAGATAATTCCAAACTAGCTTAGAACTTTTGTCTTTTAAGATGATTGCAAAAAGGTAATAAAACTTGTGTGGGTTCTTTCAAGTTGTTTTCACTGCACTAAGACCCATTCTCTTTTATACTCCTAAAAGCCAAATAGACAGAAGGCACTCAGATACACATGAGTCACCATCACCACACACAAATCCACATGCACCAGCAACGAGAGGAGTCAGAGACAAAGATATCCTAACTACAGTACTCCACGGACTTCAGCATCATGATTCATTTTTTCCTACATCTTTTTTGAGTTTGATTACCACTATAGTGCATGAAGAAAGCGATGCCCTTTCTTTTGCCACAAAGATAAGGACAGTAATTGTTGCCTTATTTTTCAATGCTTTTTTAGACCACTAGACAAGTTACCACTTTTACATAAAATTTGATTACTATCATGATTTGGATAACAGTTTTGATCTAGCTACAAGATAAGATAGATAGGTAACTACCGTGAAAAGATAGTTCCACAGTCACATTTGTATTCTCTGGTGCCACAGGTTTTTGAGTGTGCTTTCCAATCTGATTGCACAGCATAACGCTTTGAGCACTTCTCACACTTCCACTTCTTCTCACCGTGCTTTCTGCAAAAGTGCTTTTTTATCCCAGTTAAGTCTCCAAGAGCCCTTGAAGGATGGTGGTGAACACAAGTCTTCTCTGGACAGACATAAACTCGCTTCCTTACTTCTTTACTTGTCCTCTGCTTGAGCTTCCAAGGAAGGTTATGTCCACGTCGATGAAGTTGAAGATTTTGATCCCTTTGGAAACCCTTTAGACAAATTTCACACACGAATCTATTGGTTGCCATTAAAGTCTTTGGTGATAAGGCTATGACTTCAGCTTCAGGATCTATGCATATAGAATATTCACACAATAAATCATTGCTTTTTTCACTATTAAAAAAGCAATTACCTTTGAATATACTTATGACAATAAAAAAAGAAAAAAAGAAAAAACAAATAAGCCATGAAAGAACGAGCTTACCTGGGTTTCCAGGGAGGTTTCTCTTCCTCTTCAAAACAGGAGGATTATTTGATCCACATGTTGGGTTCTGAGGAGGGAAATTACCATTTGAAATTTCTCCATCATCCATGATCTTTTCTTGCATCTCAAGGTGTTTCTTCAGTTCTAAGTTTGACTCAGTTTGAAAGAAACACAGAAACAGTTAAAGCTAAAAGCTAACTACGGTGGAACGAAGTATATATATATATATATATATTAGTGTTTGAATTAGGAGAAGACCAGAGAGAATGTGTAGGTACCCTTGTTAATTATATGGTTCCAACCCTAAACAACACGAACTGATATATGCTAAGATGGGATCTCTCTGTCCCTCCCTTTATCTCTCTCTCAAATGTTACACAGTCAATTTAATTATCTACTTTTTAGGTGGAATAAAAAACTAAGATGCTGTGGGAGGCGGAAAAGTAAAAAGAGGAGAGAGAAAGAAAGATGAAAAGAAAGGGAAGTGGGGATCTAGACAGGGAAATATAGAGAGAGAGAGAGAGAAATCAAGAGGAGGTGAAACAAAGGTGTATGATGACACATATGATGAGGTCGGAAGAAAGTTACCCTCCATTTGGAATGATTATCCCATAATTTGTTGCTTTTTGTGCTCTTATTTTTCAAATCCTTTCTCATTCAATGATCTTTGTTTTTTAATTTAACTTTATAGATTTGATAATTAAATAGGAAGGAACCCCACTATGTTCTTAAATATATAAAGCTTATATTTATCGGACAGAGCAGTAATGCTCAATTTTTTTTTTGTAGGTTACAGGGAATAGAACACACAACCACACACTCTCACACACCCTATTACACACACCCACACCACTAGGCTAGCCCTAGTGGAATTTGAAAGTAGAAACAAATTGTTGCGTATATATCATATATATTTCATATATTAGTTACTTAAATATAATTGAGCTTAATTAGATTATGAGATTCTAGATCTATATGTTCCCTAAGGATGAAATATGTCAATATGTCAGAGACGAAGAAGGCAGTAATATAGATCAAAGTTCTAAGGTGTTACCGTGCTATCCTCAATTTAGCTGAGGGTGCCAAAAGTAAGAGATGTTTGAGGGCTGGTTATGTTTGATGAAAGAATTTTGCAGAGTAATAATAATGGAGAATGAATGTAAAGATGAATGTGAGGGAGTAAAGGTCCTTTTACATAGGAGGTTGGAGATTATACACAAAGTGTGATGCCATAAATCATTTCCAACTCTATTGGCCCCATTAGGTGTGAGGTTGCATGATTATTCATGCGGGGAAAATGTGGAGAAATAAGTGTAGAAAAAAGTTGTGTGCGCCACGTGTCAAGTGACAGTAATTCTCTTGGGTAGATATTCGTAACGGTTGAACTGGACCATCCGCCCGGACCAAAACAATAATCTAGTCTCTATAAAATAAAAACGTAGTTACTCAAAGACCTTTGTCTTCTATAGAATTGGTCCTTTTGCTAGATTAATATCTCAACTTGAAATGTTCCCACTTGCAACCATTTAAATCAAAGCAAACGCTGTTTGTGTCAAAAAGTGAAAATCATTGTGCCTCGTGTGTGAGTGTGACTGAAAAAAAGAAGCCTACCCTAAACCCATATCTAAATTGTTCATTTTTTACAAAAAGCAAAACCTTTCGAGTCTTTCAAACATAGTCAAAGTGAAAGTAGCAGGTCATTTCCCCGAAGAAGATTGATAGATTCCAAAATGTTGTAAAATGCTTGAAATAATTAAGTTTGTCATTATAAATTAAAGATCAGTTAGTTAGATATATATATACTTGTTAATTGCTTTGGAACTCTTACTTGAAAACAGCCATGCACGTGTGTCCATACACTCTCATCAAACTGTCCAGGAAGATAAATCCAAACGAAAAGACGAAAAAAACATAGAAAAGGGAATAATCGTCCGAATGACAACATGACCATGTCTCACATTGACTGTATTTCTAGCCCACTTGGAGCTTATATTCATCAAACGTATCTGTTGTTTCTTCTTTTAGTATTAATATATATTAATCATTTCTATTATCATATCACGATGATGATGCACCCAGTGGTCAAACATACTTTTGACTTCTTAAAACAAATTGAAGGTCTATGAAGAACTTAATTGGGTGGTAGATGTATAGCGTGCCTTATACATTTCTGATGTTAATTTTTCGATGCTAGATAGTTTACTTTATAGCCCTTTCTCATCCTCTTTTGCGTATAGTTCTTTTTCTTTTAAATAAAGGTTTGTTTCGATAAAAATGTTAACCTGCTTATCCATGAATAATGTGACCTAACAAATTAAAACGATGATTAAATTGCAAAAACAATGGTTTTTTTTTAAGTAATAATATAATCTAGTATGAAAGGCATATACTTTTAGAATCTTTTAATAATTTTCATGGTCTCCAAGAATTTTATTAATTAAATTCATGTTGTTATATAACATCTTTTTGGTTTAGTGTTGTTATATAACATTTTAAAACTATATATGTGCACTCAATATTCGATTTTGGCATAAAACTTGCATATGTGATATTAATTTGAAATTTATTGTTCATTACTGGTCATGCTTGATAGATTTACGTATATAACAATTTATGTATAATTAATTTTAGATCCACGATTTCAATAAGATATAATGGTGTCATTTACAACTTGGGATTGTATATTTTGTGGCGACATCAAGAAATAAGCTATTGGTTTGAGACTTATTTTTAACGAACTTTTTTTCTAAAATTAAAATTAGACAATTGATTACACATAAGTGGAATGATTCTTTGTTACGATCATTTATGTTTATTAGTTTTGCAAAAATAAAAAAATTGACTAATGCTATGATTCATTTCAAGATGCTTTAAAACCCAATAATTTAGTGATCTAGCTATTTGTAATGGAATCAAGGCACCTAAAACTTGGTCAGCTTTGTTTAATACAATTAGCTAGTGTAGGTCTTAATTTAAGAGATTTTTGATGAGAAGATCCATCAAGTTATAAGCCCAATGATTTTTTGATGTAATATAAAGTACTATTTTTCTGTAGACTCAGTTGAATATGAAATATGTTAATCTAGGAAATGCCGCTGAGTAAAGCTTTGCGTCGGTGCTAGAGTATTAAATAAGTTTGAGATTTGAATAAATATAAAAAAAAAAAAAAAAAAGTTTGAGATTTTATTAAATACTAAGAATATTATGAAAGAGAATATGTTAGAAGACAGCCAGCTTACAAAGGCAGTGAATTTTTCGAAGTGTGAGTAGTCGTCTCCTTATGGGCTGACTTTTCCTGTTAAATTGGTAATCCTTAATCATAATCTAATGATTTTTTCCTTTCTTACATTGTTTAAAATAAAATTTTGGAATTTAGCTGTTGAACTTTGGTGGCCCTAGAATATTCTCTCCCCTTCAACACTTCTCCCAAAGGCTTCAACTTTCAAGGCTTTGTGAGATTCCTATTCAAACTTCACAAACGTCCTTAATTGCCCCACCCTCTTCTTTCTGTCTCTAGCTTGACATAGTTGTTAACAGTATACATTTTAATGCAAATGAGTTTAGGGAAAAGCAAATTGTTGTCACCAAGGGTATGTTTGTTTCTTTGTCCTCTTGTTCCCAAAAACTGAAGAGTATTAATACCATGACATGCACAATATTGTTTGCAGCTGTCTCAATGTAAAATTTCCATCTAGAAAGACTATATAATAATAGCTCTGCTCTATTATTTCTTATGGAAAATTTTGCTTTGATTGTTTATGCAATTTTGTTTCTACATTGCTCCAATATTAAAACAAGTTATGCCATCAATGCGTAAAAATAATGCATGTATACGTTTAAATTATAAACAAAAGCATCTTGACAAAGAAATTTAAGCTCAAATTACTAGAAAGGGTAATATTTTAAAGTCCAAATTTTCAAAATTTCTACAAGTAGATTTAGCTTGATTAAATTGGAATAAATGAGCAAAAGTAGAACCGATTTAGATCTGGGAATCGATTACAGAAACCCACATGCTTCTGATTATCAAAAGATGGAGAATATGTTCCTTTTAATATTGAGCACTTAATAATTCTTTTCTTTAATATTTTGTTGTTTCCTTCTTTTTTTGGGTCATTTGCTGTACAAATGCATGATGCTACAAGATCTTATTGCAGTTTAGCAACTTTACGGACACACAAAACAGCCCTTGACATGAATATTCCCTTTTGGATTTGCCATTTGTACTTCACTTTATAATGCACGGTATTCTTTATAATGCATAATTGCAACATTATGCATGTTTTTCCATTAGAATGAAATATAGAAAAGGTTCGTCGTTTTCTTTCTTATCAATGATATGAGAAAAGGAAAAACAAAGTTGCAATAAAAGCAAAACAACTCAGCCACTATATGCTGTCTTAAATTTGTTAGTAAATATTTTGATGAATCACACTAAAATCAAAAAGGGAATTAAGAGCAGAGAGAGAAAGAAAGAGATATATATTTTTCATTATACTTTCCTTATAACACTCGTTAGAATCACCCTATTATAAGGGAATATAAATAACCACCAAAACCCTAAGATGCAATATAACTGGACTTAAACTCAAACTATTAAAATAAAAGTAAGGCCTATCAAAGATGACATATTAGTTGACGTCAAATAATTGAGCAAGTGGAGGTAAGAGCACGTGTTTGATCCTTCATAGTATCATCTTTGGGAGAGGTTTAAAGCCTTAATCCCGATATCCTTAGTCGCGAAGCGATGAACTGATTGGAATATCTCCAAAAAATTAAAACTAAGGCCCAAAATGATGCAAGTCTTTATAGGCGCGAGGACACTATCCTACACCTTGAGCGACTCCCCCACTCTACGCTCGCTCGTCGGGGAATATTTGATATATAATTATTAGGTTTAAAGTTTCTAAAATTATTTTAAATAACTTTATCTATGTTCATCAAAATATACACATAAAAGTGTGTTAGGCTCATGTTTTCTTTTTCTCTCTCTTCTCTTTACATGGGTCCACATGGACCCCACACACTTTTTTGTATCTATTTTGGTGAACATTAGATAAAATTATCTAAAGTAATTTTAGAAACTTAATTTAAACCCATAATTCTTAGGCTTTTCTTCACTTTTTTTTTTTTAGATAATCTAATCAGTTCAGGACTTTGCGACTAGTCCGATTCGGAAGTCCCGAATTAAGATTTTAACCCCTTCCAAAGACGATACTTATTTTTCTTTTCTTTCTTTTGTTAGTAAACTGAGTCACAGAACCAATAATCACTTTTCTAAAATCATTGTCGTATTTTAAAACTCAATATAAGTGAAGTGATTTAAGAGGAATAGTAGGGAGGTTGTCAATATAATTCATTTTGCCGTTTATATTAACACGTTTTGAATTGGTTTATATTTTGCTTTTACTAAAAAAAATCATTATCGTGTAAGTAATTTCATAAAATGGATTATATAATTTTAGAACACCAAAAGATTTAGGTTTACTTGTTGAAGACATAATTCTTGATTTCTTGAAGACTTATTGTTTCCTCTGATGCTCCTGCAATGAAAAGACTAGATCTTCCTCTGTAATTCACATCACTCCCTGATCACAACCGTCGATGGGGCAAGTTGTGGAGTAACAGTTTTCTAACACATTGTGAATGCAGAGAGGACCTAGCCAAACTTATTAACTCTAGTCCTCTTCCCATCATGAACCTATGGATTAGACCTACACTGTTACCCACACTAATCAATTTACAGATATCCAAGCTCAAATAAAAGGATCACTTAATTAAATGGGCTTTATATTGCACCCTCATATGGATCATGACTTAGTCCGTTTTTATCAAAACAAAAAAACTATAATTGATTGAATCCCACAATTATTATAAAAATTTCTAACATTCAAAACTATGGAGAGAGTTATTGACTGAGACTTTTGAAAGAGTAAAAAAATAAAAAAATAAATTAACCAAAATATGCACAAATTACAACGTAAGGGAAACTAGTCTTCTTTATTTTCTGTCATTGGTTGACGTCTAAATTAGATTCGTATGTTTCATGACATTTAAGACGTCTTACACAATTTGATGTCTATATATAATTGCATATAATAAATTATGATTAAAGGTAAATATCATCCAAAAAAAAAAACTATAAAGTAAAAAACTCCCATGTGTGATAACAACATGATTGAATGCCCCTATATATTCCATGAAATTTAATGGAACAGCATGAATAAGAAAAGGGATTAGTTAATCAACAACAGTTATTGTATATATGGGATTGATTTGTGTTTCTGAACACGCTTAGAGCGTGAAGAGGCAGGCACTTTGTCCTCATGGATAATGAATTGACCACCACTATAACCTCAATCAACAGATTACGAGATTGCCATGTAACATTACAAGATTAGAAGGATTGGATTCTCTTTCTTACCAAAAAGAAAAAATAAAATACTCTGAATTAAAAATAAAATAAAAAAGAAGAAGCAGCCATGGGCACTAATATTCTCTCTTTCTTTTCAAGGTGATTCGAGCAGGCCATAGCTATTAATTATCCCCTTTTAATAAAGAGGTAGGGACCAAGCGTATGAAGAGAGATAGAGAGAGATCAAATAATGCCCAAATTCGAAATTATTTATTCAAGAAAACCAAGTCGTCAGGCTGTATTTGTGGTAAACAAAGGTCACTATCTATCTTCTCTCTGATGTGTTTGCAAGCAAGGTCACCATCAAGAATTATATGAGCACAAGGAAGTTGCACTATGGATAAAAGAACAATGTTTTTTAATACAAGAAGAAATCAAATTGGGATATTGTCCTTCATTTTGTTCATTGAATTATTGGCAAATTTTGATGGGCAAGATAGCAAAAGGACAGATTTCAAAACTCCCTTGTAGGAATGATTTCAAAGACATGGAGGGCCATCTTCCACTCCGATGATTGATAATTTGATATAGTTAATCACACTGGGTACATAACATTGGCCACGTATAAAAATGGGTCTTTGTTATCTACCTTAATGTTCAAATTGATGGTGGCGTAGAAAGAGATGTTAGTTATACAAGAGATATTTGCATAGAGAAATAATATTAATAATATGCTAATCAATCTAGTCAAATCCTACATCTCTTCTCTTGGAGCGGTTCATGAGTCTTGAAGAGGCAAGCGTTAATATTCTGCTAACTAATATCAATTCAAGTAGCCGACAATATTATCATAGCCAAGTTGTCCATTCCATGAAGATGAAGAAAGGAGAAAAGGGGTGGATGATGATTAAGGTGGATTTGGAGAAGGCTTGTGATTGCCTTAGCTGGAATTTTGTTAAGGAGACTTTGAATGAGTTGGGGCTTAACAACAATCTGTCCAATCTAATATTTAATTGCATATCAACCAATACAATGAATCTGTTGTGGAATGGTGTCTTAATCAAAGATTTTGAACCCCAAAGAGGTATAAGACAAGGAGATCCATTATCTCCATACCTTTTTGTGTTGTGTGTTGAGAGATTAGCCCACTTGATCCAAATAGCTGTGGATACTAAGGCTTGGAAGCCTATTGCTTTAAATAAGAAGGCTCCCCCTCTATCCCATTTGTTCTTTGCAGACGATATTATTCTCTGTGCAGAGGCATCCTTGGAGCAAGCTCATGTTATTAATCAGGTCCTGAAGATGTTTTCTGTGGCATCAGGTCAAAAAGTCAGTGGAGACAAGACTAGAGTCTTTTTCTGCAGTAATGTAGGCTTCACCAGAGCTAAGGAAATCAGTGAGTGCCTTGGAGTGGGAATTACTAATGACTTGGGTAAGTATCTTGGAGTTAAGTTGAATCATAAAAGAGTTTCCAGACAATCTCTTAACCATGTAGTGGAAAGGGTCCAGAGCAGACTCTCTTCTTGGAACCAGTCCTCCTTATCTTTAGCAGGGAGGATCACGTTGGCTAAAGTTATTCTGGAGGATCTTCCTGCATACACAATGCAAACTACTATTGTTCCTGTTAGTGTTTGAAAGGAGGTGGAAAAATTAACCAGGAGCTTCATTTGGGGTTCAAATCCAAGCAAAAGGAAGATGCTGGAGCAGTGTATACAGAACCAAGGAGGAAGGAGGCCTTGGGCTAAGGAATCAAAGGACAGTAAACAAAGCTTTTGCTATGAAGATTGGTTATGGTATGATGACTAATAAAGATACACTCTGGGCCAAAATTCTTCGCAGCAAGTATAAGTTGGGACTTGATCTTATACCTATATTAAAAGAAGATAGGAACAACTCCAACACTTGGAAATGAGTCTGTAAAACTTGGAAGCATGTTCCGGATGGTTCGAGAGTTTTTGTTGAAAATGGGAATAGAACAAAATTTTGGTGGGATAAATGGGTTCCTGAGATGGGAAGGCTGATAGATAGGGTGATAAGACCAATCCCAGAGGAAGCTAATGAGTGGTATGTGGCTGACTGTTTGAATCAAGAAGGGAATTGGCAGTGGTCTAAGTTTGAGCAGTTCCAAGATGTTGAGGTTGTTAGGGCCATTGAAAATGTGATACCTCCATCTGATGCAGCAGGTCCTGATAAGGTTATTTGGGGCCACTCTTCAACAGGTGATTTTATAGTTAAATCAACTTATAGTCTTCTAAACCCTCCTATTATTTGCAATAAATGTAGAAAGTGGTCTCTGGCTTGGGAGTGGGAGGGTCCTCAAAGAGTAAAAGCCTTCCTCTGGTTGCTGATTGGTAAAAATTTACTCACTAATGATCAAAGAAATAGAAGGAACCTAAGTGAAGATGTGAAATGTAGTAGATGCCATGCCCCTATTGAAAACTGTAACCACATCTTCAGGGAGTGTGATTGTGCCCAACAAGTTTGGAGGCTATGTTTCAAAGGTACGAATTTTAACTCCTTTTGTAATGGTGACTTCAAATGCTGGATTGAGGAGAACTTAAGTAGAAAGAATTCTAATAAGAATTGGAGAAGATTTTTTGGGGTTATGTGCTGGTTGATATGGCAGGAAAGGAACAATTTTATTTTCAATGATTCTAGGAAACATCCCATCGAGGTGGTTCATCAAGCTTCTACTTTTGTCCAGAACATGGTAGTGGTAGATAGCACTTTGTTAAAAGCTGGTCTTCATCCTAAGACTAGGAAAGAACTAACTATTCAATGGAAACCTCCCCCTCCTAATTGAATTAAAATTAACTCTGATGGATCATGTCGTGATAATGGAACCAGACTGAGTTGTGTGGGTGTAATTAGAAATTGTGTTAGAGAATGGATTTCTGATTTTTCAAAAAGACTTGGTTGTGGTAATGTGTTGATGGCTGAGATTTGGGGAGTCGTAATTGGGTTGGAATGGGCCTAGGATATGGGTTACCAGGAGGTGATTCATGAAATAGAGTCTATGGAAGTGCAAAAGGTGATTTTGGGTGGATGTATTGAGTCTCATCCATGCTTTGCCCTGGTTTTTCGAATCAAGAAGATGATTGAAAAGAATTGGAAGGTGGATATAGCTCATATCCATAGGGAAGGTAACAAGGTAGCTAATTGGTTGGCTTGTCAAGCCTCTAGAATGATTGGAACACTGTTTGGTATGGACCTCCTCCTGATAGCTGCAAAGACTTGCTTATGGGGATTGTATGGGTGATGGTGTGCCCAGAATGTTAGGTAGTTAGGTTGTTCTGTTTATTTTCTTTCATACTTATACAAAAAAAAATATCAATTCAAGTACCACAAAGTTTAATCCAAGAATCAACAGAGGATCTCAGCCAACTTAAATTATTTTTGATAAAATGGTGGCATTGAGGTTTGAACCCGTAATCTTATGCACCAAAGATATTTACTTTATGCAGATTACTTAAATCTCTTATTATTAGACCAATCCTAATGATTTAGCACAAATGCACTATCTTCCAATGATGAAAAAACTGGACCGGACCGGCCGGGTCGACCCGGAACCCGGTAAACCGGTCACCTGACCGGTCCGATTAGCTATTTGGATGGGGAATGTAACAGAACCGGTTTGACCCGGTATGACTCGGTCGGGTTTTGAGAGAACCGGTGACCCGACCGGTTTTGAGTTGAACCGACTGGGTCATGTATATATATATATATTTTTTGAAAAAACAAACAAAAACAACGTCGTTGGGTCAAATGAGAAGGGAGACTCAGAACAGAAGAACTGGTGTTGTCCATCACAAACCACAGGCACAAACAAAGCACCCAATCCAAAAAAAAAAATAGAGAACAGCTGAGACTGTGGGAGAGTGGAAGAAAAAGAGAACCACAAGCAGATCTGATTATTCCATAGTTGCGAAGATGATACCTTGAGAATCGATTGAAGCATCGTTTAAGATGATACCTTGAAGAGTCGATCGGAATAGGTAACCTTCTTTTTTGCTTTGTTGATTCTTTTTTTGTTTTTTGTTAATAAAAAGTATCTGGAGACTCCACCACTTCACCCCTCGTGAATTTAGTATAAGTGAAAAATGAAATTTCTAGGAAGGTGATTCTTTTACATTACTTTTTTTCTATTTTAATATGCAGATTGGACAAGACTACTTGTCTTCGACTTGAATAAGCATAGAGCCATAGACTTTCTTTGATGATACGGTTGGAGTAAAAATTGATGATTCTTTTTCTATTTTTGTTATGTATTGGTATTTTAATTGATTCATGACTAAAACACGAAAAGGAATAACAGATAGGATAGAAAATCTACTTGCCAGATTCTCTCGAAAAAATAGAAAATTCTGTCTGATTCATAAAGTGAAAATAGATGATGTTCCATTTCACAGTTCACTATCGGAATTGCTTTGTTTATTTTTTTTGTTAGATTACTTTCCATCCAAAGAAAGTGACTGTACCGAATACATGCATTTGGTGTTCTACACTGGTCTGACTTACATGATGAATGTTGCACATGAGCTTCACTTCCTTGGTATCTGATTTAACAATTAACATCAGATTATTCAATATTAGGTGGGTTGTCTCAAACTTTCATGTAAATGGGTTTTTGTTTCGGGTGGGAATGGTTAAGGATGTCTTAGGAGGGGATGATGTGAATGTGGGACTTCAGTCATCAGTTGATTGCTTGAAAATTTAAGAGTATTTGTGGTAAGCAATATCTTCATCTACTCGGTTATTTCCTTATTCCGTTATAATCTTTCATGATCTAATTTGATAACACACTGGATATTTCATGATTATGCATAGAAACCTTCTCAATGTATTGGAATGTTGATTATTTGAACTGTGAGATGTTAAGAAGTAGAAATTTGGCAAAGATTAACAAGAAAAAATGGCAGATGATTCCAATAAAGAGACAAGTACCAAAAAAATGCTAATATCACTTCTAAATTGCTGATATCGATATGATTTGATTGATTGCTCACAACCTTTTAAATTATAAAGTTTTGAATTTAATCTCTGCAAAGTCTGATACCACCACATGTATTACTCCCCTAGATAAGTAGCCACATTAATGGTTCGATTCTAATTATGCTATCTATTGGTAAACTAATTTATTACTTCAAATACATGTATTCTGATGGTCCAAAAAAATATATACATGCATTTTTCTCTAATCAGCATATTTGAAATTACCAATATCAAATAACTTGTAATTATTGCATGGAATTTTTATTTTATTAAAGCTAGAGATGTCTTCTACTCAACCTGAAGCACCAATCTCGCAAGAAATTTCATCTCAACATTCATCTAAAAAAAATCAACACAGGGGAAAAACTGATCCAAGTTGGGCACATTGTAAACAACTTGCTTAAGAGAATGGCAAAGTTGTTCTAGTATGTCTTTATTGTGATAAGATAATTAGGGGAGGTGGCATCAATCAGCTTAAAACCCACTTGGCCAGAGAAAAATGGCAAGTTGAACAATACAAGAAGGTTCCGGTAGATGTTCGTTTTTAAATGAAGCAAAATATTGATGAGTGTAGGAACAAAAAAAGAAAAGTTCAAGTGGAATATCAAGATAGTAATCCATATGATGAACATCAAGTGCTACCAGTTGATGAAGTGCTAGAAAATCCATCAAGAAAAGCTCCTTCTACATCTCAAAAGGGGAAGAATATTAATCCTCTAGGTTCTTATTTTATGCCTAGAACAACTCCTGGAGCTCAACCTGGCATTAAAAGAGTGTTGCAGAGTAAAGAAGTAATGGAGAAGTGTGACATCGCAATTTCCAAATGGATGATTGATGCTGGTGTACCATTTAATGCTGTTAATTCATCATATTACCAGCCAATGATTGATGCTATTTGTAGCATGGGTCCAGGGTATAAATGTCCAAACTTTTACAGAGTTCGTGGTCATTTGTTGAATAAGTGGGTTGGCGAAGTCAAGAAACTTGTTGAGAGTTATCGCACTGTTTGGAAGCAAACAGGATGTACTATTATGGAAGATGGGTGGACTAATCGTTGTAGGAGAACTCTTATCAATTTTCTAATTTATTGCCCAAAAGGAACTATTTTTCTGAAGTCGGTTGATGCTTCTAATGCTTAAAAAACTGCAGATTTATTGTAAGCTTTTTAGAGATGTGGTGTTAGATGTTGGCTCTGAAAATGTTGTTCAGGTTGTGACTGATACTGCTGCAAATTATGTTGCTGTTGGGAGGTTATTGGAGGCTGAGTTTCCTACTATTTTTTGGTCTCCTTGTGCTGCTCATTGTATAAATTTGATGTTACAAGACTTTGGAAAGTTAGAGGAAGAAAGTTTTGTTGTGTCTCATGCTGCCAAAATTACCAAATACATCTATAATCATTGTCATCCATTGCATTTGATGAGAAAATATACAGGTGGAAGGGAAATACTTCGTCTAGCTCCGACTCGCTTTGCCACTAATTTTATTGCCTTACAAAGCATATTGGCTCAAAAGAATGCATTAAGGGCTATGGTAACTTCTAGAGATTGGACAAGCTCAGCTTATTCGCAAAAAAATTTGTGGAACAAGTTTTAGATTCTAATTTCTGGAAACAATGTGCTGATATTTTGAAGCTTACTGAGCCATTTATTCGTGTGTTGCGTATTGTTGATAGTGAAGACAAACCTGCCATGGGTTTTCTTTATCAAGCTATATTTAAAGCTAAAGAGGAAATGATAAGGAGATTTCAAAGAAATAAGAAGAAGGTGGAGCCTTACTTGACCAACTTAGATAGTTGCTGGGATTCACAACTTCGCAAAAATCTTCATGCCTCTAATTATTGGTTGAATCCAGGTTGTCGTTTCAATAATGAAGAATTTGAAAAACATAAATTCACAACATCAGGCCTTTTGGATGTCATTGAGAGATATGCTTATGGGAATCCTGATTTAAATTCTAAGTTGACAAGTGAGATGAGAATATTCAAAAATGCTGAGTTAGATTTTGGAAGGCCATCTCCTAAACGTGAACGGAATACCGTGATACCAGGTAAAATTTATGATTTATATCTTTCTTTTTTTATGAGCATTAATTGTTATTATTGTTGAATAATATTAATACTAATTTATCACATGCAATATTCTAGATCAATGGTGGGAATCTTATGGATGTGGTGCACCAAATTTGCAAAAATTGGCTATTCGTATTTTAAGTCAAACTTGTAATGCTTCGGGTTGTGAACGCAATTGGAGCACATTTGAACACATTCATTCGAATAAGAGAAATAGATTAGAGCATCAAAAGCTTAATGATCTTGTCTATGTTCGTTATAACTTGAGGTTGGCACAAAGGTATTATTGAGTATTTTTTTTATATAATTATTTCTCTAAGTATTTTCTAATTTTGAAAATTGGACAATTTAATAAACGTAGGAGTCAATTGAAGCATCAAAATTATGATCCAATAAATTTTGAAACATTTGAGGAGCACTCTAATTGGGTACTGGAGGAATCACCACCATACTTAACAGTTGAAGAAATGGAAGCTTTACGGACGGAGCTTGCACATATGTCCATTCAACCAACTTTAGATGAAGCAGGTGTGTTTACTTATTGTTTTATGATTATTTGATTGTTTGACTACTTCATGTTAATAACTAACATACATGAAAAATTGGCATTTGTTTTAGATCAACTAAATTTGGATGATGATGATGAAGATGAGGCACAAGACAACATCATGGAAAGTGCAAATCAAACTGAAGGCAATGAAGAAGGAGAGCATGAATTAATTGACACAACTTTGCCTCCTAGGGCATAATTATATGTTCTTTTTTTTTTTTGGAAATAATAATTATATGTTCTTGTGCTAGCAATTTGAGCTGTTTGTTTTCTCTTGATAGTGACAAAAGCTATTGTTATAGACTTGTGATGGATATTAAATGTTTAGGGACAAGACAAATATTATATGTTTGTTGGATCTTTTGTTGGAAAATGTTGTGTGATTTATTTCTTTTCAAATTAGAATATTTGGAATTGGTATCATATTTTACAGGTATTTGAGTGTGTTAATAGTTTTTTTTTTTTTTAATAAAAATTAAAAATTTGTATATACTTACCAGGTCATGCAGTTGAACCAGTGACCCAGTGTCCCGGTACCTCGACCGGGTCGATGACCGGGCCGAGTTTAATAATATTGCTATCTTCTGTTTCAGTTTTGGTTTAGTCAATTATTTGAAATTATAATTTCTTGAAAGATATCAATTAAGGTCATGAAAGATGAAACTATAGATTGTTCCATTTTAGAGATACTAGGCCCGCATACTAACCCATGGCCCATGACTTAAAAGTTGAAGGTCCATGAGGAACCCATAAGTTTTTATGCATCTTAATAATTTAGGAACAACTGTTTCTAACCTCCTTAAAATATGACTCATTTGCAAAAAGCCACATAGATTATTAAATATTTCTATTCAATCTCTCAATCATAGCCATTATTACAATAACTTTTTTTTTATCTCTATTTCTAACAAATTGAAAAATTCAGATCGCCTGTACATAAACTATCATTGACATGGCAAAATTTACTATCTTTCATATGATTAACGGTTTATTATAGGGTATATTATTTCTCCTATTATATAAGATAAATTCTCCTACTTTGACCCAAAACGATTGAGAAATTTTTTTTTATAATTTCATTTGATTTTAAGTTATATTAGTTTTTATCATGACAATTTTTTATCAATTCCCAAATCATATTGTTTAGGATGATAACACTTTTTTTTTTTGGTAAACTAGGATGATAACTCTAATAATAATAAACCCTTATTATATTTAATTTTTATTTTTTCACGTAATTAATTAATTTTTAAAATAAATAACATATACAAAGAATAAAAGGAGAAGAAAAATGAGGTTCTCAACTAAGTTCAATTTGAGTGGCTCCAGTGAGACCCTTAAAGAGGTTCCGCATAATTTGACAATAATAGACTTTTTTTTAATATAATTTATGATAAAATAAAATACATAAACTTGGAATAAAAATTAATTTATATTACAGGATAAAATTATAAGCAAATAAAAAGTTTGATTATGCCACGTCATTTCTTTATTAAGAACTTTAACCAATAATTGACCAAACGGTGTATTAATGTATTTTGATAATTTTTATAATTTGAGAGTAATTGATTGCAATTGAGTGAAAATTTCGAGATGTAACACTTCCCAACATTCATTTACGATGTCGTTTAAGGAGACAGAATAGGTATACACATACAGAGAAAGGTAATGGGTTCTATTCTATCGATATATAAACACACGGTGCGGCGCTGCACCCTAGTGGTCAATTTCCTACAAACATAGCTGAATTCCAATAGTTATTTCCTCATACGAATAAAAGGGTTTGGAAATGGATCCTCTTATCTCAGAAAAAATATGACATTGTCACGTGAGAAGATCACAATCATATAAAAGTAAATCAATGATTATGATTTTGTAACTACTTATTTTAATATATTTTTTCTCTACTCTTTTATTACCATTGATCTACATTTGTATAGTTATGATTTTCCACATGTGATTTTTTCATATTAAAGGATACTCCAGATCCGGTTTGGAAATGGATCCTCTTATGTCAGAAGAAGGGTTTTGAGTTTCTTGTGATTGTATGAACCGTTGAGGTATCCATGGATCTCATAATCTTCTGGATATATTTCAAAATACAGAAAACCCCGCTTCGGTATATATATATATATGTTGAAGCGATTGATTACTTTGGAATATATCCGAATACTATGAGATCCGTGGGAGCCAATCCATCCAACTATTTCTCATTCTGAATGCTTGCTATAGACTGGTGTCATAATACTAATATCATAAGAGTTTCATATGCATCTTTTTGTTTAAGATTACAACTTTTTTTGAGGCAAATTTTAAACAAAAACCAAGATTCTTATCTGGCCTCTTGACCTCATGATTACAGGAACCCTTTTTTGTTTCTTGCTATCAGTTTGGACTTTTATCAACATATGGTTTTTATTGTATGTTTAAAATAACTGATAAACTATTTCTCTTGGGATGCCTAAATGTGTGAAATCTTATCTGCATTGTTGTTGTGTCAGTGTCTCCTCATATTTCCTCTTACTTTAAATCAGACTTGACTCAGATTCATATGCTGGTTTATTTTTCATCTGAATTTGCTATATTTGTTCCTTTGTTTGCATTGTTGCATCTAAGGAAGCACGGACACCTCAAAAAACAGGAAGTGTCGTGTCAACACTGTCAAATGGAATTTGACCGTGTCCGACACGCAAATTTGACTGTGTCCGACATGGTCAAATGACATTTCGTAAATTTTTTTTTTAAAAAAATTAAAATATATTAATAAAACTTCCACCTGATCATATCAATCTTCTTCTTTTTTTTTTTTTTGTCTTTTCCCCCTTAAGTAGATAAGAAATCATCTCATCATCATTGTTGTCAATTCCTATTACGCTCTTGCTGTATCTCCTTCTCTCTTATGTATCTCTCTCTCATCTGATTTGATCTCTCTATATGATATTATCTCTCTCTCATCCCAGTTTCTATTTTTTTATTAAAGCTTCCATCTTTATAACGTGTTGGTGGATATTATTAATTTAGTTTTATTTGTTTGTTAAATTATTGAATATTAAATAAAATATACGCTATATAAATTAAAAATATTATTTAATATTAAAACTGTTCCAACGTGTCGAAATTCATATTTTTTTAAGCTTGACGTGTCGAAATGTTATGTCGTGTCGTGTCACGTATCGCGTGTCGTATCAGTGCTACATATATCCCTAATTTTTTCTGCTACAGATTATTATTGAGTGTTATAATTCTGCTATATGAATGGTAATATTGTATTTGTTGCTCTATGATAATTTTGCAAACATTTTTTTTTAATAAATGATGGCACTAAGATTCATGGGAAGACAAACAGAGATGAAAATTGAGCCTCATTGTTGACAGGGGTATGAGTCATAATAGAGGCGGACCCAGGTGGGAGCCCGTATCCGCAAGTGCGGACATAAGATTTTACTTTTTTTTTTACAGGTTCTTATTTATCTCTTGGTTAAATATTTATATTAGGAGTAAATATCCTTTTAAGTCCTTAACAAAAAATACAGTCCCTACATTAGTCCTTTATAAAAAATTAGTCTTGAGGTTTCTAAGAAATTCAAGGTGGATCAATTTAGTTAAAATCGTGATCCCTCACAAATTCAAAAAAGACCCACATTAGTTGCTCAAAAGGACTAAAATGTGCCCACTTTGAATTTCATAAGGAGAGCAGGTACCTAAATTTTTTTTGTAAAGGACTAAAGTGGAGATCGAATTTTTTGTTAGGAACCAAAAAGAGTACAGGTAGTGTTGACTTTTTCATTCACCATTATAAAATAGAATGATGATGTATGATGTACTAGAGTATATTCTAATATTTGTTTTGGAGGATTGGTAAGATTTAGAGAGAAAATGATTGGTCAAACTATTCCCTGCAGCTGGTTATGGAAGCAACTAGATTATGAGCGAGTTCATAACCTTGTATATAAAGCGTTAATTTAAACTGTCTTTACAAAAAAAAAAATTCGGGGGCAACACCACTAAATGTGCGACGATAAAGAATTTTTTCTGGATCCGCCACTGAGTCATGACACACCACATGCAAGAAGTCTGCAACATGGACCTATGTGCTTTTGTGAACGGTAACTGGAGTTCCTTTGTCTTCCTTAGTCCAATGAAGCATTAATGAAAACAATTATTATTAATGAATTTTTGGTGAATGATGAAAGTTTCTGACCTTAAGCAATTTCTTTGTTCAGTATGAAGTCATGTAAAAGATATCTAGGTTATGAAACTATATATTGTTTCCATTTGAGAGATAATAGGCCCGTATGCTATCCCATGGCCCATAACTTAAAAGTTGAAGGTCCATGAGGAACCCATAAGTTTTTAGTGTCTTAATAATTTATGAACAACATCTAAACACCCAATGATAGAAATTCAGTTGATAAGTGAAAAGAAAAATGTCTCCATTCGATTTTCATATGTCATTTTTAGAAGGGCATTAAATATCTCCATCGATAACACATCTTGTACTCAGAGGTATTTAGAGTTGACTTAACTGTCATGAAATCGAGCAAAGGAACCAACTTGTAGAAGAGTCGAAACTTGTAGAAATACAAAGGAGCCAACTCGATTAATCCTTATAGGTTGCTCAAAAAGTCAAAACTTGTAAAAATACTAAAGAGCCAACTCGTCTCAAAGAGATAATTAGAGTTGACTAAACTCAAAAAAGTAAATAAATAATAATAATAATTTTGGAACAACTGTGTCTATGTCTATCCTCCTTAAACTATGACTCATTTACAAATAGTCACATAAAATATTAAATATTTCTATTCAATCTCTCAATCAAAGCCATTATCAAAATAAAATTTATAACAACTTGAAAAATCACATAACCTTTACATGACAATTTTATGACATGGCAAAATTTACTATCATACGTATGATTGATGTTTTAGTGCCTGGGTTTATTGTTCCTGTCATGAGACAAAATTATTTTCTTTGAATTAAAATAATGTTATTTTGAGATTGAAGATATTTTTTTTTAATTTGAATTTATTTGGGACTACGTTAATATTTATTATGAGAAAATTTTTTCCTCAAAAACGACGCGAAGGTCACAAAAGATTATTTCCCATTATAGGAGAAACAATAAATCTTTATTATTTTTTTTTTATTTCTTTTACCTAATTAGTTAATTTTCAGATATAAATAATATATACAAAAGAAAAAAGGGAAAAAAAATGAGATTTTCAAATAAATTAAATTTGAGTGGCTCCAGTGAAACCATTAGGTACCATTAGGTGCTGTTTGGTTGTGGCTTTCTTAAAAGTTACTCATGCAAATCAACTTGGCAATAGTTGAAGTCTTTGTTTGGTAGACAATTTCTTAAAATTAAGATAGGCTTTCTATTTGCATAACTTTTCAGATTTGGCCGTAGAAATTGAGAATCAATCACTGTTACGAAAGACATCTTTGATATGATTTTTGTTAGTTAGCTGGGTAAATGAAAAAAGGTTAAAGTCAACCCACACCAAAATACCCTTTATATTTGTAATTTTATTGGACATGGTTTTTGGGGTTATATTTGTAATTTTATACAATTTACCCATCATTATTTTTTCTTCAACCAAACATAGGTAACACAAATTTTAAACAATTTGCCTGTTAAAATTTGTCCCAACCAAACAATTTTTTTTAACTTTCCTATCTAATTCACTTTCTCAGTAGATCCATAGTAATTACTTTTTCCTGGTGAACTAAAATTTTCATTTGAACCAAAGAGCACCTTAAAGCCGTTCAACATAATTTCATTAATTTGACAATAACATATTATAGACATTGTTTTTTACTTTTTAATATAATTATGGTAAAATAAAATACATAGAATAATAATAAAAATTAATTGATATGATCGGATAAAATTATAAACAAATGAAAAGTTTTGATTATGCAAGGTCATTTCTTTATTAATAAATCGTGAAAATCGAGATTAATTGATAGCAAATGAGAGAAAATTTAGAGATGTTATTGTTAATGCACTTTCTATTATTCATTTACGACGTCGTTTAGGGAGACAGATTAGGTATACACATATGCAGAGGAAGATAGTGGTTTCTAAGTTCTAACGACTTATAACCACATGGTGCGGCGCTGAACCTTTGAGATCAATTTCAAAGAAACAAAGCTGAATTCCAACAGTTATTTCCTCATAAGAATAAAGGGTTTTTAGTTTGTTGTGATCGTAAGAAAAGTTTAGGTATCCATGGTTGGATCAATTGACTCTGGCATGGATATCATAGTCTTCGGGATATATTCCAAAATACAGAAAACCCCGCTTCGGTATATATATGTTGAAGCGATTGATTATTTTGGAATAAAGCCGAATACTATGAGATCCATTCTCTTATGGATTGAAGATATGATAATTTTGTGTTATAGGATAAGACAGGTGCAACTCACGAGGTATTTTATGGTACCCTACCTGAGGTAAACTTCAAATGTTTGTTGGTTGCTAATTTTATGATTGATGTTTGATAATTCATTAAATATACGATTAATGTTGTTACAGGAACCCTTTTTTGTTTCTTGCTATCAGTTGGGACCTTTTATCCACTGATGGTTTTTTATTGTATGTTTGAATTAACTGTTAAACTCTTTTCTCTTGGGATGTTTAAATGCGTTAATTCTTATCGTGTATGTCTGTGTCAACTCCTATTTTCTCCTGCTTGAAATCAGACTTGACTCAGATTCATATGCTGGTTCATTTGTCATCTAAATTTTCTGTATATGCTCCCTTGTTTGCATTGTTGTATCCCTAACTTTTTTCTGCTGACAATCTGAGATGAAGATTGAGCCGCATGCTGACAGGGGCATGAGCCATAACACACCACATACAACAAGTCTGCAACATGGCCCTATGTGCTTTTGTGAATGGTAACTTGGAGTTCATTTGTCCTTCTTAGTCCAATGAAGCCTTAATGAAAACAATTATTATTATTGAATTTTTGGCCGATGATGAAAGTTTCTGACCTTAAGCTATTTTTATGTTCAGTATGAAGTCATGTTTTATGGTGTTTCCTGCTCAAAAAATGTAGCTTAACATAGAGGAAGCATAAGTTTAAGGAAATTGTTTGATAATTGGAATTTCAAGTAGAGTCATACTCACTAGAGACTCGAGAAACAAAGAGATCTATATTGTCAGAATATAGATCTCAGAATAACCCCTGTGAACCCCATGAATAAGTAAGAGAATGAATTTTACTCTCATATTCCCTGTAAATGATATATACAGACGCCACATTAACATGGTTTGTTTTATAATTTATTTACAGTGGGTGGAAGGCTCAGCAGTGGGAAGCAATGAAGAACCTGACAAACTTTACCCTACAGAGAACATTGAAATAGCAAATATAATATCAGGAGAATTAATTCTTAGATGATTTTGCTGCTGATTTTAAGACTGCTGATCTGATCGCATTAGTTCCTATGGCAGCAGCCATACTGCTTCTGCTTTTGCCTTGTCTGACAATTTTCTCATTCCAATGTACTATGTTGATGTTGAATTTACCCAACATCTCAGTTCTGATGAAAACAAAGCGTTTGATCCAAGTGTAGAAGCTAATTTACATTCTATTGAAGTAACAGAAAGGGACCAAGAATCTAGATTATAGATCTCTTCCTGTTTCACTGGGAGTCACTTCTGTGGATCCTCCTCAGATTTCAAGTAAGGAACCGGTTTCACCCAAAGCTGCATCAATTACTTCCAGTCTAGATGATGCACTTGCCAGAGGAAACATCTACTTTGATGAATCCAAATGTTCTATTACGGCCACAGGAAGAAAAATCTTTTCCTCCACACCGTGCAAAGTTTTATTCAAAGTGGGAGTAAGTCCAAAGTGTCACGTGATTTTGATTCATGGACGGACGCAATTTGATTATGTAAGTTTTGTACTACTTGCTTGTTAATGTGTAATATGATGTGTTAATTGCTGCTAATCTAAGAGTGGCATTATCCTTTTCCGGGAGTCTGGTGAATGAAAAAAAGGCCCTCCTTCCTGACTCTTTGGCTGGAAATATGATCAGAAAACTTGTCCCACTGGGGTTAACATTCATATAAAACTCTAACCATTGTTTGCCTAATTGACAGTGTATGATTCATTTCTCATCAATAAAATTGTTTAAAAGGAAAAAAGCATGTCATGCAAATGAAATTCACAAGCTTGCTTTTGGAAGGGAGGAGTTTTGTTGCCCTTCAAACTAATAATTTGATATTGTTACTAGTAAAGGGAGATGAAAAATTATGTCTCTATAAGATGAACAAATTACACTGTTTATGTTGATGTAGCTACAATGGAGCCCCAGTCAAATTCAGGATATGGTGGAGTGAAAACTTGTACGTATGAAAGCATGTTTGGATCCTCTTATTTTTAAGCTAGAAGCTACTTATAAGCTAAAGTTAAAAAAAAGAGCTTAAAAAAAGAAGCTAAAAGCTGTTTTGGTAATTATATAAAAAATTTAGCTTAAAAATTATTTAAAAGCAATGTTTCAAGAAAATTATTTCTCTCTCTATCTTTATAACTCTTCATTTAAAAAAAAAACACACAATTCAAGAAAAACAGATAAGAGCTTAAAAAAAAGCTCCTCCTAGGAGCTTTTAATTTTCAGCTTTTTTCTTCGTTATAAAAAAAAGAGCTTTTCATTATAAGAGCTTTTTTTAAAACCTGTTTGGCCTAATTTATGCTTATAAGTAACTTCTAGCTTAAAATTAAGAGGATCCAAACAGGCAGAAAGTCAATATGGGTTAACGGAATTTGAATGCTATTAAAACATTGAGATTCAGTTATAATATAAATAGAGAAATTCTCGATAAAGAGAATGGGACACAAAAAATGGAATACATTTTCTATTACCCGAAAATGGAATCATGAGGATTATAAAATTTTCTCACTACATAAATACCTACGCAAAATATGTCAAGGTCTAGGGTAGGGTTTTTTGGGGGATTATAACTTGGGATAGGCTTATGAATATTAAAGGCTTGAAGTTTTTAAAAGTTCTACGGATCATGGAAACATGTTTGTTTATTATAATATATTTCTTTACATTTTTTTAATAATCGAACAAATTAAAAAATAGAAATCTTAATATTCAATAGATCAAGCTAACTTGATACAGTGTTTTGGTGTTTGGGACACGGGATTGGATCCCGTGACATTGGGGCCTAACATGATGCGGTTGGTACATTAAAACTAGTACAAAATTATATACGGTGTTATCTCTATTTGAATAAATAAATAAATAAATTAATGTCATTATATATATGTTTGATTTTAAATAATTTTAAAAACACAAGATAAGTTAATTTAATCATACAAAGATGAAAATAAATATAATCGTTAATGTAAATATAGGGAATCATGACCATACAAAGATGGAAATAAATATAACCGTTGGATCAACATACTCGATTCAACGGTGAGATTGATTGGTAGTCACTTGGTAGTAACACAACTTGGTTGTCACAATATCCTTCCCTAAAAAAATCATATATATAACAAGAAAAAAATATAAACACACCAGAAAGAGGAATTTCAGAACTGCACAAATTAACCAGGTTTTCTACCTTTTTTTACGTCAACCCAGAAGGAGAAAAGAAAGAAAAATATAAAGTTATTTGCACAAGAAAAGCAAGTACATGAATTTTACAAACAAATATTTTCACATGAAACCAATAAAGAGAGGAAGAAAGAAATCTCCAATAAATATAAAAAAAAACCCCAACAAGGTATGCATTACCACCTTAAATACAATATTAGTAGTTCATTTACTTATTTAGCATCGCAATACTTGAGAATGTTTTCGTTTTCCGTAGTCGACTAGTCGGTGATGAACAAAATTGAAAAAAGCTGACACGCAACCGAATGCATCAAATTGTATTGTTGCCTAATTCTAAATTCTAAACCCAGAGCATTAGTACGATGAGCTTGTCCATTAAAAGATGAAATGTTTATGTTTCCTTGATGATTGGATATTCAATTGATGTACTACATAATATTATGATGCATTGATTAACAATAAGAGTACATCAGAATTCATGTCATCAAACTAGCCTGCCAAATTGAAGGCTCAAAGAAAGTGATTTTAATAAACATTTCGGAAATTTACAAAGAAGAGGAATTAGAGAAAATGAAAAATTAAAATAGAGGGAAATAAATATAATGTCATGAAACAGAGAGAGTCATAGCCATAAAGCACCAGCTTCTTTGAGCATAGGAACCAATTCACCAGAAATATGAGTAGCCATAAGACGATCCAATCCTCCAAACATTTTGCCACCTATAAACACAGCTGGGAACTGCACATTTCCCTGTTTCCCATCAATTGCTTCCAATTCTCTAACAACACCCTCTTCATCTTTCTCTTCAACCTCATAAACAGCAGGGTTAACACCAAGACTCAGAAGTAGACGCTTCACCACATGGCTCATACAGCACCCGCGCCTCCCAAACACTATAACAGCGTTTTCAGAAACCATGTTGAGCACCATTGTTCCCTCTGCTGCAGAAGGGTCTTTGGATGAAACAGAGAATGAAGGATTGTTCTTCTTCTTCTTATTATTATTACTACTACTATTGTTGTTGTTGTTGTCAGAATCTGTGATAAATGGGTGTGGGGTGAAGTGGGTTGTGGGGGTGTGTAGAGGACCCCATGACCTATAAGGAATTGCTTGATGCATGATGGAGTTTTGAGTAAATGTTAGAAGGAAGAGAGAAAGAGAGAAAAAGAGAAAAAGATGCGTGGTTCTGAAGTGGGTGGGTTATGGTTGTGGTTATGGAGATATTGAAAGAGGGTGTGGAATATAAATGGTGTGATGAATTTGAAAGGGTCATTGCTCATTGCGTCAACGGGAATTAGGCAATTTTTGTCAAAGGAACGCGGTGGCATTGGGTCATGTTGGTAATGGCTGACGTTTAAGGTTGTGTCACTTTGCTCATCTTTTTTGTTTTTTGTTAACCTATTGATTTGGACGGCTCCCAACTTGTCCTGTTCCTCCATGTTTATTTAATCTAAAATAATTTAAATGTTTCTTCTGTTTCCAATTCAATTCTCAATTCTCAATTCTCAATTCTCAATCTTATCGGTGCTCAACGGTTTGATTTGGATTTCTTCTCTCTTCATGAATTATCTGATTAAATGAGTGTTGCACCGCAAGACCATATAAATTGTATCAAAATTTTAACACAATTGTGTTTTCAGAATTTAACAATTCCATTTCAGTTTATTTATATACTTGATAGTAATTTCATTTTCATTTTTAAATTTTTGATATTTTCTTTATCGGTTCATCAATTAATTAATTAATCGAATTGAAGGAGACAGGACTATAAAAGTGAAAAAACTCTCCATATTAAAATTTTAATATAATTGAATATCAAGAATTCAAATTCAAAACCATTAAATAAGTTGAAAGAAATTCATGGTAGTTGATATACATACTTGATGGTGGTTACATTTTTTTTTTAATCTTATGGCAAAGGAGAAATTTTATTTGCATCATTTTCACATTTATTATATACATGATGGAATTGGACTTCTATTGATTTATTTAATGTTTTAAATAAACTACACCATCTCTTTGTTTTTAAGGATGTTTAACTATAATATTTTATTTATTTGAATAAATTGCACTTGTTTCTTTCACAAATTAATGACTTTAATGTTTCTACAATAAATGTAGACATGTTATCTATATTCGCTTCCAAAACTATATCGTTTTGGGTTGAAAAATAAAAAAAATATTATAACCTTAAATAAATTATAATTACAAAAATACTATGATTTCTGTTTAAAATAATGACATTTTGAACTCAATATAAATAAGTTATCTACAATCACCGTAAGAAAAGCCAACCCTGAATTAATATGTGCTATCCTTTAGTTGAATCTTTCGGGGACAGTTTTATGCAACTCTCAGAGTTGAGATAAGTTTTGAATTTATATTATCGGGACTTTAGAAAATGAAATAAATATTTGGAATGAAATTCAAAAATCGATAATAAATTAAGACATTTAAAACTTAACTTCATCTTCTGAAGTCCTAAAATTAATAATAAGGTGCTCAAATATAAAGAGAAAAAATCTCTGAAAGAATTTATAGTTACTTATCATTATTAAGAGAATTATTTACATTGAAATAATTTGAAGTGTAGAACATTTCTATTTCTTAAAAAATTGTAATTTTTAAAACAAAATTTATCCTAAATTTCTTTTTAAAAAAATATATTTTCACTTAATTTTTCGTATGCAATTCAAATTTTTACACGGACTTACGTATACTAAATGATGTGTTAAGATTGTTGTGCATTATGCAATATTTATATATTAATTGAAATTCTCTTCTAGAAATAAGAGTTTATATCTATAAAAAAATATAAAATCAATGCAAACTCAAAGTTTTGATCCGAAGCGTCACCGATATCGACACGGAACACGAGATACGATAGATACTTCGACACGTTAATTCTAAAAAATGTTAGATTTTGACATGTTAAGACACATTTTGATATTGAATAATATTTTTAATTTATGTTGCATATACTATATTTAATATTCAATAATTTAAAAAAAGAAGAAGCTAAACTTATAAATTATAATACCAATTAATTTTGTAAAGAAACATAAGATATCACAAATATTTATATTAAATTCATTAAAATAGTAATAGTAATCTAACGAATCTAATAGTTAGAACTAAAAACACAACGCAACACAATCTTTGAATCTTTTTTTGAGTTTCTACAACGCGTGTTGAAGTGTCGAAAAGTATCAAAGTATCAGAGAGTACCAGAAAATATCAGACACAACACGTTAGAATTTTTAAAGTGTCGTGCTTCATTCTTTGTTCTAAATAAAATTAAAACATGGTACACGTTTTTTTAGTCTCATAACATTAACTTTTTACTGTTACTGGTAAGTAAGTATAAATCCAATCAATGCTTTGTTGAAAAACTAAAGATTCGAAAGAACACGGCAGAAAGAGAAAAGCAGAGATAATATTTCGGATCTCATGTGTAAAATCCACATGATTTTTGTATAAATTTTATGCCTATCTTTTTTCTTATAAGTATTAAATAGGTGGAGTTCAATCAATATTTGTGAATATATATAAAAAGAGAGACATACAATTTTCATAAATTATGTGAAATTTATACATAAGAAAAAGGAAATAGACTGTGCAAAAAAGTTATATAAACTTAATTTGTATTTATTATGAACTTATTTAAGAGTTTAAATTTATGTAATTGATTCTACATAGAATTATTAAATCTGATTATACATCATTGACCCCCCCCCCCCCCCCCCCCCCCCCCCCCCCCCCCCCCCCAAAAAAAAAAAAAACAAAAATCTCATTATGTATATAACAAATCCAATTCAAACTATATGATCCTTGCACAATCAACACTAACAAAGAGGTAGCCGCAATATTTACTTGTATTTTTTTTTTTTTTGGCGGTGCCTTGAATCTTTTTTAGGTGCTTTGTTTCTTGTAGTGTCCTTCCTCATTTTTTTGACTTCGGCTTCACCTCTCTCTGTTTTTTTTTTTACTTTATATGTTTTCGTAATATTTTTTAATAAGTTTACTTAATTTTTTTAAAAATATATTTGAACAGTTCGATTTCAAAATCAACACACGTTATGATAAATATGAACTTTTTTATTTAAATTTTTGAAATTAATAGCAAGCTTTAATTTTATGAAATAATAATGGATTCGGTTTTTCTGTAATTACTGCACATAAGTTATCTGCAGTAAGCCCAATGCGACATTTTTTTGGTAGAAATTATGGTATTTTTGTAATTTTAATTTATTTCATAATTATTATAGTTTATAATTATAATTTTTTAATCTTTCAATTTCAAAACGACGTCGTTTTAGAAATAAATACAAATAACTTATGTGCATTAACTGCAGAAATATTTTTCTGAACAATAATACTTTTAATTAAGAACAAAATTATATATTATCCATTATTTTTTTATAAATATTTATATTTATATTTATTTATTCTATTAACAAATTTAATATTTTTACTAAAATAGTAGGCGCGTGCAACCATTATATGATTGGATTGACCGAAAAAAAAAAACCGAAATGAAAAAGAAAAAGGTTGAGTACAAAAATTCGTTAAAACGAGGATAAGCACATGACACACGCCGTGTCGTTGACGGCGAAAGCGAAAGGGCTGAAGCTGAGCGAATCCTACGTCAGCAATAGGTTCAATGCATTCCATGTGTCGACGAATGCTGTGACGTTTTCTGACGTCAGCATCTTGCTAACAACCAAACCAGCCACGTAACCAGCAATGCTTCCAGAATCATCACGTCATGGCTGCGTTCGAACCTAAGTAATGCACAGTTCCACTTCTTAAAGTATGTTTGGTACCATGAAATATTAATGTTAATTAAAAAATTAGTTATGTATCATTCAATTAAAATGAAGGAATTTTTTTTTTTTAGTTTTATATATAAAAAATATGAATATTGATCGGGAATGAAATATAAGGCATCTACACAAGGACTAATTGTAATACTTTGTTATCTCATCACTTGCAGTGAATTATGTAAAGCTAGTTATTTTTCTACTAGATTTTATTAGTCTCATTTAACATAAAATAGATTGTTGAGATATATAGTCCCACATTGGTTGTATGTGCAACTAATGTGGAGTTTATAAGGCCTTGGGCACTCCCACCCTTTGAGCTAGCTTTTGGGGTGGTGTATCCCAAGGTTCTTTACATGGTATCAGAGCCTCATCGTCCTCCGCTTTAAAGTGGAATTAAAAAAAAAAAAAAAGCACAAAAGGTAAACAAAAAATGGGCCTGTGCAATTTTCACGGTTCAAGCCCAAAGGGCTCTCGTGTGAGGGGGCGTGTTGAGATATATAGTCCCACATTGGTTGTATGTGCAACTAATGTGGAGGTTATAAGGCCTTGGGCACTCCCACCCTTTGAGCTAGCTTTTGGGGTGGTGTATCCCAAGGTTCTTTACATAGATATCTTATGTTGTAGAAAGAAAATATGTAGGTTCCACCTTTACAAGAAAAAAAAAAGTGGAGTACGAAAATCGAAATGAGAGAAAATAAAAGATGATATCTCATGTAAAAAGTGAGTAATATTTCCCTAAATATAAATGTGATAAATATAAGGTACACGTCTTCTACATAAAAAAAATATTTATACAAGATCTAATTTGAGGATTAGGATGTTTTACAGGTATAACCCGACAAATGGAAAATCATTATGGTGAGTTCAAGTAAATTTAATTCTGATTAAATATACATAAATAGTTGTTAGATTTGTATTAAAAAATTATTGTTAATTTGATTATTTTATTACTTTTTTAATAAATAAAGTTAGAAAAAAAATAAGAATATGCGAGATTCATTTAGTAAACGAAATAAAAAAATCATAACCTTTTATTCATGAAAAAATAACTCACTGCTCCGATTCGTTTCCTTTTATTTAGTAAACGAATTATAATATATAATTATTAATACAATTTTATTTAACTATTTGAATTTTTGGATTGAATTTAGGGGTATATTTTTCTTCTATTCTCAGAGAAAAGCATACCTCCTACAAAGATATAAAAAAAAAATATGCCAGCTTTATTTTATTTTTATTTTTTAAAGTGGTGAAATCCACAATAATTTTTTGTGTTGTAGGAGAAACAATTACCCCTTGAATTTATTATGTTGATGCTATTAAAGTTTTTGTAACTAAGAGGTCACAAATTCCTTTGTAATTTTTTTTTTCAATCCTCTCTATAATAAAAAGATGCAAAATATATAGACTCCATTAAAAAATACGTTATCTAAATCTCTTTCTTTCATAGCAGTGTTTACTGGTTACGTGGCTGGTTTGGTTGTTAGCAAGATGCTGACGTCAGGAACCGGCACATTATGAAATACGTTATCTAAAGGTCTGTTTGATTGTGTTCAGGGTTTTTTATTCTTAAAATTGTTTTGTAAAATAGTTATGGAAACAATTGTTTTCTATATTTATTTATGGGAATAACATCTGTCATTTTAAATGATATAAGTTTATATCCTTTTAGATTTTAATCGTTGATTTCTGTCTATCAACGGTTATAATTTATTGGATCAAAATTATTAATTAATTAATAATAATTTTGACCCATTAAGTTTGACCCAATAGATTATAACCGTTGATGGACGAAAATCAACTGTTAGGATCTAAAAGGATATAAGCTTATATCCTTTAAAAGGATAGATGTTTTTTCCTTTATTTATTTTTGAAAGTTAAAAACCAAAATAGAAAACAAAAAAAAACTCAGACATATTCTCTAATTTTGATTCTAAAAACAAAAAAACAATTATAGTTTTCAAAACATTTTTTACAAAACAGGCCTTACCAAACGAGTTTTTTAGTTTTTTTTTTAAAAACAACAATCAAACAGATCTCTTTCATTCAAGGGGTCACCGGCCTATCATGATGATAAATCCTGGTTATCTAAATCTCTTTCTTTCAGAGCAGTGTTTACTGGTTACGTGGCTGGTTTGGTTGTTAGCAAGATGCTGACATCAGGAACCGGCACATTATGAAATACGTTATCTAAGGGCCTGTTTGATTGTGTTCAGATTTTTTTATTCTTAAAACTGTTTCGTAAAATAGTTATGGAAACAATTGTTTTCTATATTTATTTATGGGAATAACATCTGTCATTTTAAATGATATAAGTTTATATCCTTTTAGATCCTAATCGTTGATTTCCGTCCATCAACGGTTATAATTTATTGGATCAAAATTATTAATTAATTAATAATAATTTTGGCCCATTAAGTTTGACCCAATAGATTATAACCGTTGATGGACGAAAATCAACGGTTAGGATCTAAAAGGATATAAGCTTATATCCTTTAAAAGGATAGATATTTTTTCCTTTATTTATTTTTGAAAGTTAAAAACCAAAACAGAAAACAAAAAAAAACTCAGACATATTCTCTAATTTTGATTCTAAAAACAAAAAAACAATTATAGTTTTCAAAACATTTTTTACAAAACAGGCCTTACCAAACGAGTCTTTTAGTTTTTTTTTTAAAAACAACAATCAAACAGATCTCTTTCATTCAAGGGGTCACCGGGCTATCACGATGATAAATCTTGGTTCAACCGATGAACCATTATCGGTTTTCTCATTAAACCGGGTTTTTAAAATTAGCTACAAAATATTTGAACCCGGCACATTAAAGTGAGAGGAGCGCCATTTCAAACCACTAGACCACCATCATCAGTTGAATAAAATATACCATTTAATATATAACTATTAAGTTAAGAGAATTAATTCAAAAATTGCATCCAATGGGATTTGAACTCCTTCCATTGAAGATATACAACATAGCAAATACCACTAAACTACATCAAGATATTGTTTAGATAACACCATTCAAAATATTTATTATATAATTAAGTATAAAATATAAATTTATATATATATATATATATATATATATATTCGGTTCATGCGGTTCAACCAGTGACTCACCGGTTAAACCATTGACCCAGTACCTCGGTCGGGTCAATGATCAGTCCGGTTCTAATAACATTGTTTCAGAGTATTAAATACAAGAAAAGGGTTGTTATTATTATTATTATTATTATTATTATTATTATTATTATTCTTTTTCACTCAAAAATAGCAAACGCTAATTGGCAGGCACAACACACTACAGTTTCTTTGTTCCAACTTCCAAGTCATTGCCCCTCGTCCTCGATATTCTGATAGAGCGAAGCTCTGAGAAGGAACAGAATGAACACAATTTTATTATTTTTGATATGTATTTCCTCTCAACAATCCCCTATATACGGATACAAGGATCCTACTAATACAAAAGAATCATTCAATGTTCTCAGGTCCATCAATATTGGACCACTATTTTACAAATGGTAATCTACGGCCCAACTAGGGGCACTGGTTAGCCTTTTGGGCCTAGCCTTGACCGTATCACTTGTCCCTCCTTCAAAAGGGACCTTGACCTCAAGGTCCAACTCAGGATAGAACTTCTGCAAGTCCTCTTCATATTCCCATGAAGCATCTTCTGCCAATGAATGAGACCATTGAACAAGCCACTGTCGAAATTCCTTGTTCTGCTGATGAATGGTACGAAAATAAACCACAGCCAATGGTTGTTGAGTTGGTTGATTTTCATGGTAATCTACAGGCAATTCAGTTACTGCTACAGTGGAATTCCCAACATAAGGTTTCAACACTGATATATGGAAAGAGGGATGAATTCGAGAGTGTGGAGGTAATTCTAATTGGTATGCTACCTTACTCAATACCTTCTTAACCGGAAAGGGGCCAAAATACCTTTTGGCTAACTTTTGATTAGTTCTTCGAGCCAAAGAGATTTGCCTGTATGGTTGAAGTTTGAGCAATACCAAATCTCCAACTTGAAATTTCTTATCTGTCCTATGTTTATCAGCGGCCATTTTCATCCGATTTTGAGCTGCCTTTAAATGGTGCTTTAAGCTGGTAAGCAACTCATTTCGATAAGAAAGCATTGTATCCACAACTGCCACACGCACAGATCCCTGTTGATATGAAGGAATTAGAGTAGGTTGCTTCCCATATAAAGCTTGAAAGAGAGTCATGCCAATTGAAGAATGATGAGCAGTGTTATAATGTAATTCAGCCCATCCTAGATAAAAAGACCACTTGCTATTTTGATCATGACAAAATGCTCTGATATATTGCTCCAAATATCGATTAGTCACCTCCGTTTGCCTATCTGTTTGTGGGTGATAAGCTGAGCTCATTTTAAGAGCTGTACCACTAAGCTTAAAAAGAGAAGACCAGAATTGGCTCATGAAAATTCTGTCTCTGTCAGAAACCAGTGACTTGGGAAATCCATGTAACTTCACCACCATTTCACAAAACAATTTGGCCACTGTCACAGCCGAGTAATTACCTGCTAAAGCTCCAAAATGAGCATATTTAGTCAGTCTATCTACAGTAACTAATATAGCTGAAACCCCTGCAGAAATAGGCAAACCAGTGATAAAGTCAAGAGTAAGGTCTTCAAAAACTCCTTCTGGAATAGAAAGTGGCTGTAACAAACCAAGAGGAGGACCAGTGACTGATTTAATACATTGACATATATGACATGCCTTTACAAATGAAGTCACATCCCTACGCATGTGCTCCCAATAAAAAGAAGCAGACAACCTAAGTAAAGTTCTGGTAATACCCGCATGGCCTCCTAGTGGTGAAGAATGTGCTTCAGTCATGAGAATTTGTCTCAAAACAGATGTTGGACTCAACAAGTATCGTCCTTTATGAAACAACAGCCCATCCTTTGATGTAATCAATACATCCACACAATTATTATAACTAACCTTTTGATGCAACCCCAACAAGTAAGGATCTGAAATATTTTCTGCACGGATTTGATCTACAATTGCATAAGTGGGTGCAGAAACTAAACAGAACAAGGAGGCAGCAGAATCTTCCTCATGTCGTCTGGACAATGCATCTGCAACCATATTGGAAACTCCACTTTTATATTCAATTGTAAAATCAAATCCTAAAAGCTTACATACATACTTCTGCTGCTCAGTAGTAGAAATAGTCTGAGATAATAATTCCTTAAGGCTCCTGTGATCAGTTTTTATAACAAACTTTGAACCCAGCAAATAATGCCTCCACCTTTTGATAGCCTCGGTCACTGCATACAACTTTCTCACATAAGTTGATGCTGACTGCATTTTCTGATTCATCTTCTTACTAAAAAATGCTATGGGTTGTCCTTCTTGCAATAACACAGCTCCTACTCCATAGTTTGAAGCATCCGATTCAATTATAAATGGCAAGGAAAAGTTGGGAAGCCGCAGAACAGGTGTCTCTGTCATGGCTCTTTTTAATGCTAAAAAAGCATCATCTGTGCTTGGTGACCAATGGAATGAATCACTTTTAAGAAGATCTGTCAGAGGAGTAGCTAGAGAAGCATATTGTCGTACAAATCGTCTGTAATATCCCGTTAAACCCAAGAAACCCCGAAGCTGTTTTAAGGTTCTTGGAACTGGCCAATGAATCATGGCAGAGACCTTCTTGGGATCAGCTGTAACTCCCTCACCCGAGACTAAATGTCCCAAATATTCTATCTCAGAAACTCCAAAAACTCATTTACTCATCTTGACATAAAATTGATTCTGCAAAAGACAGTGCAATGCAGTCCTCAAATGCAGAATGTGATCTTCCATGGTAGTGCTATACACAAGTATATCATCAAAAAAAACAATCACGAACCTGCGAAGATGAGCCTTAAACAAGTGATTCATAGCCGCTTGGAAGGTAGAAGGAGCATTAGTTAAGCCGAACGGCATAACCAAAAACTCGTAATGACCCTCATGGGTTCGAAAAGCAGTCTTGAACACGTCATCCAGAGTCATTCTTATCTGGTGATAGCCACTGCGTAAGTCCAATTTGGAGAATACCTTTGCCCCATGTAACTCGTCCAACAACTCATCAATTGTCGGAATAGGAAAGCGATCCTTAACAGTGATATTGTTAAGCTTCCTATAGTCAATACACATGCGCCAAGTGCCATCTTGTTTCTTGACTAACAACACTGGAGAAGAAAATGGACTTCTACTTTCTTGTATGTACCCAGAAGTTAACAAGTCAGCAACTTGTTGCTCTATTTCAGCCTTCTGGTGATAAGCATACCTATAAGGACGTACTGATACTGGCTTCGCACCCTCCTCAAGATGAATTGAATGATTACAGCCTCTAAATGGGGGTAACGCATTAGGAATCTGGAAAACAGCTTGAAAGGCCACTAGTACCTTCCATAATTCCGGAGAAACCTTATCTTTCATCATCTCCACCTCTGCATTAGACTGCTGTACTCCCAAATGGAGCATCAATTTGGAATTGGAATGCTGATCAGAACCCCCTTTCAACAATACCCTCTTGCTGCACCACTCAAACTCCATGGTTAAAAGCTCATAATCATGTATCACCCTTCCCAATTTGGCTAACCACATGATTCCCAAAATTATTCCCAAATCATGCAATTCAATAACCCACAAATCAACTACAAATTGATGTCCTTGAATCAAGAGTTTCACATCAAGACATTTTTTCTCACACAACAAAAATTCTCCATTTCCCAAATAAACCCGCATCTTAGTGGTTCTGGACATAGGTAAATCAAATTTTTCAACTAACTCCCTATTGATAAAGTTGTGAGAGCTACCTGAGTCGATTAAAACCTGGACCATTTCTCCATGGAATGGAATGTCAAAATGCAAGGCCCGAGGATTGGTGTCTCCCACCATTGAATGTAAGGCTGCATCAGACATTTCAATAGTTTTGGCCTCTGGCTGCCAAACTATCTGCTCATCTGGTTGATCCCCCAACTCATCCTCCTCACCTATCAACAGTAGCATCCTCCCTTGACATCTATGGCGCACATTCCATTTTTCATTACAATGATAACAGAGACCTGACTCTCTCCGTTTCTGCAGGTATTCATGTGAGAACTTCTTAATCGGAGGTAAATTGAGGGCAGGTAAAGCTGGTACCGAATTGATGGGTTTAACTTGAGATACCTGTGGGGACAAAGAAAACGAAGGATCTCCCACCGATTGCCTCCCATAGAGCGGTTTGGAGTTAGCCGGGAATGAAGTACGAAGCTCACTATGATGGGCCTCATATGCCACCGCCAATTTCATGGCTTGATGGAGAGAAGTGGGGTTATGAAATTGGATGGCGCGCCTCAGATCAGCATGCAAACCAGAAATGAAAAAACTAGCAAGTACCTCATCCGAAAATTCAGTTACTTGATTGATTAGGGCTTCAAATTCACGGATGTAATCCTTCAAAGCACCCGATTGTGTAAGTTTGGAAAGAACCCCCTTGAGATCCATGTACGATTCAGCCCCAAATCTTTGACACAAAGCTGTCTTAAAATCCGTCCAAGATTTAAGAGACCCTCCTCTGTACAACCATTGATACCAAGGTAAAGCTGCTCCTTCCATTTTGAGCCCTGCCAATCGTACTTTATACTCCTCTGGAACATGTTGCAATTCATACAACATCTCTGTTTTAAAGATCCAACCGTTTGGATCCACGCCCAGAAATGCCGGAAACTCCATACGAACGAACTTAAGAAATGACCGTGGGTCGTTATGGTCAACCCTAACACCGCCTTGCCCATTGGTGTGGGGTGGATCTTCTGGAATCGACGATAATGGTGGATCCCCTTGCATGTGCGAAGACGAAGAAGACGAAGATGGTTCTTTCTGTGGTCCTGGGTCACGACATCGACTTTCCAAACCCAGCAACACTGAATGAATTTGTTGCAATTGATTGTTGAAAGTAGCGATTTGAGCCTGATTTTCATCCAATCGTTGCTCTATTCGGAGTTGGAAAGTGCCAAACTCTTCTGCAAGATCCTGCACCTTCATGGTGGAAAGTCTTGGAGAAGCCAGTGAAAGCACCAATGATAGAGCGAAGCTCTGAGAAGGAACAGAATGAACACAATTTTATTATTTTTGATATGTATTTCCTCTCAACAATCCCCTATATACGGATACAAGGATCCTACTAATACAAAAAAATCATTCAATGTTCTCAGGTCCATCAATATTGGACCACTATTTTACAAATGGTAATCTACGGCCCAACTAGGGGCACTGGTTAGCCTTTTGGGCCTAGCCTTGACCGTATCATATTCACTGCCCCCTGTTGGACTCTACTTAATAATAATTTGTTACACATCATGATTCGTGTAGCACAACACTATCAAGTTCTAATCAGTATTTATTAGGAAAAGTTATTATCATACATCAGTCGAATTTCTTACATTATCAAGTTCTATAATATAAGTACACAAAAAAAAGTTAAATAAGTGTGTTTAATATTATTTTATTGAAGAACAATATTACACAGAAAAACATAATAATGTATACAACTTCATATTTGTATAATTTTGTAATTTAAAATAATTAATCTCATTAATTTTTATTTCCTGTATTCTGATTTTTTTTTTAAATAACATGTGATCCTTATATATATATATATACATAGAAAATATAGTTTCTCATGTTACAAAGACAAATTTATCTCATGTACAAAATAACAAAAATGGGTGGAACCCATTAAAAAAGAGAAAAAGAAAATAAATGAGTTCTATCCATTTTTTTATATGTATATGGAGAAAATTTTGTCTCATGAAACATAAAAAACTATATTCCCATATAGATATTAACAAACATTTTCCCATTATGAAATGAACTACGATGTACAGTGTGAATGATTTTTTGTTTCCCCCCTTAAAATTCCTTTGTTTACTTAATAAACAGGAATATTACATCAAAAGAATTAGGGGAAAAATATTTGTCATTTTAAATGATATATAATTATGTCATTTTAAGAGAGAGATAGATACAAAATATTATTTTTTATTTAAAATAAATTAAAAAAAACTACTTACTTTCTTCTCTATAATTTTTATTCTCTGTATCTATCTCTCTCTTAAAATGACATATTTATGTCATTTAAAATGACAAACATCAAACCCAAGGATTAGTAAGTCTTAATGTAAAGCTTTTTCATTTACATATCGATTAAGTTCTTCAAAGGCGGAAAAACGAAAGCAGTTGGCTTGACATCAAAGTTTTGCATAATAGGATTATAATTAAATATTTAATAAATTTAGATATTCGAGTGTATTGATAGATTAACGTTAATAACGAGCATAAGCCATGACACATGCTGTGCATCCATTGTTCCAGGACGGCATATATCATCACAAGTGATGTTTGATTTCTTTCGTTACGATAGCAAATACGCTGTACCTGAACTCATCAAACCAATCAAAAAATATTTATTTTTGGCTAGGCTAAAGATATAGTGTATATCTGAAATCCACGTCGCACACAATATAGTATAACGTAAATTTATTAAAATTTAATACGTCAAAGCATGACGTGGTACAATTATCAAATATATCAAATGAATCCCCAATTGGCCAATATCTCCATACATTGACAGCTTAAAAAAGAAAGAAAGAAAAAACAATTGAAAAATTAATAATTGAAACTTTCTTATGTGACGTTTTAGGTTGAATATGAAATGAATCAAACAAACCAAGAAGCGGCATCAGGTTTTTAATATTGTATTTTTGGTTATCAGAATCTTCATGATGTCGATTCTGTATTAATTTACTAGTAACAACTATCGTTTAGCAGATATGATGGAGCCCATTATGGCATTATCATAATATAATACAAAAGTGATTGTGAAAGCAGATCCATGTTGTATGTCTATGAGTTTATATGAATAAAAAAATCTATTGTAAGAATATGAAAACAAAAAAATTGTTCACATATAAATATGAATACTAAATTATATTACGGGCAGGATATTCTTACACCGGTGTAAGAGTTAGAAGTCTTACCCTCAATCTTGACCATTGAACCACTTATATCCAATGGCTCACATTACTAAAAAATTTGAACCGTTAGATATAAATGAAATCAACGGATAAGATTGAGAGTGTAACTTACACTGGTGTAAAATGATCCTGACCCTTATATTACTAATGTCCCACCAAAAATACATATATATAACAATGTGAATGGAAACCATGGATCAGACCATGGGGCAGCGCGCCAATGGTATTTTTAGGATTTACAATCAGGATATGCTTAACTTAAAGAAGCATCCTCCACGTATACTAGAGAACAAAAAACCGTGACAAATCTCGATATTTTATTAAAAGATGCATGGACTAAGCAAGCATATCGCATATTTTGTAGCAAAAGTTTAACCTCAAATCTGAATTGTCAAGATTGCTTCTTCAGCAATGTTATCAAAACTGATCATTGATCTGGCCGAGGTATTGGTGAAGATCTTCTAAGTATTATAGAATGCAAATTTTGATAATGACAAAAAGTTTATAAAAAGTCTCAAATTGAAGATAGAACTTAAAGACACATGAAAGCATAGCAATTTAAATAGGTTAAATTTTTGTAACACACTTTATTATATCACAAAATATCATCCTAAGCTCTATTGCATCACATGCATATAGCTCCATATCTTTCATATTAAAAGTAATAATTAATTGTTTTTTGTTATGGGTTAAAAATAAAAAAAGTTTAAAATTAAGTAATCAGGTTTTAAAAATAAAATCTAAGTTATTAATAATCAGTTTTAATATAAAGAAACAAAAAGTAAATCAATTAAATATATTGTGTAACATAATTCTAAGTTTTTCAATTAATGAAAGTGATCAGGCAATTAAAGACCATAACAATATATGTTTTTCATCATTACTTTAACACCTGGGTTAGTCTTCTGATAATAAAAAAATTAAAAACTAAATCTGTTATGAACCAATTAAATGGTCCCCACCTCCTATCCTCGTTACTAGGGGTGCTAAACAAACCAGGGGCCTTTCGTTCGGCTCGTAAAGGCTTAGACTTACATGTCTAAAATTGGTTGTTAGAATCAGATTTGAACTTATATAAAAGCTCGTTTAATAAAAAAAAGCCTCAGGCTTCAATTCAAAAGCTCGACCTTAGAGCCTTTTAAGCTAGCCTAGTATACTAATTTTTATTTTATTTAATATTTTTTATATTACTCATAATAGCATACTTTCTCTCTCCTCAACCCATTCCATCCCATTTTACTGGTTAAACAGACTTTTTGAATGATTTTGTTTTATATTATGCTATTTGGATATACATTGAATTTATGAAGTTTTGTAACATTATTAGTGCTATTTATCGTATTTTCTGTTCGGATAAACTTTTGTTGGCTTATTTTTTTTAACAGGCGAAAGTAGAATTTTATTTTTTGGTAAATAAGTCAGGCAACGTGCCAATAATTATATTCATAACAGGTAACAGGTTAGGCCAGACTGACATATTTAAGCGCAGACTTGGCCTTTTAAGACCAAAGTCCGGCCGGGCTCAACGTGTTAACACCCTTACTCACTATATGACATGCACCATCTCACTCCACCACTCTCTTGCAACTTCCATCCACTACAAATAACACCCACGAAGCACTACATGACACCACTAAATCACTTGCTAAACTACCCACAATGTGCACAACCTCCTAGTGTACCGTTCATTTCAAGTAATAAAAGTGATAAGTAAGATATCGTTCCCTCGAGGATTAATGCACCAACTACTAATTTAACTATTTCCCTTGAATTGGAAAAACTAAGGTTGATTGTGAAAATATTTGTTGGAATTTAGAAACAGAAGTAATTAAAAGCATGCAAGAATTAATCAAGAATGTCAAAGAGATTATGAATAATTGAAATTGTAAAAGGAACTGCAGTCAGGATGCACTTCACCTCTGCTCCTCCTTTATAGTCCTAAATTGAATTTTATAACTAACTAATTTATTAGCTCAGATAATTCATTATTTCCCTATTAAATAGTTGAACCCTAATGTCTTAGTGATTTCAACCATTTAATCCAATTAGAATCCTAGTGTCCTAGTAATTCCTCTTGAATTAAGCATTAAGCAAATGAATTAAAAGTCTGCAATCTATGTAAGCCTATGTCTAGGTCATGCACAGATTGTTATTCTACCATTGTCTGAATTAAAACTCCAATATGTCTATTGTGAGCTCTAACCCTCAAAACTTTATAATAGAGCGATCAATTCTATCTAGGATATAGAAGAATTAACACAGGTAGAATAAAGCTATATAAATTACATTAATTATAAAAATAATTTAAAACATAAAGAATTCACATTGTATCTGTGATCCCAACTACAAAAAGAAAACTCGTCAGACATATCGGACTTCAACAAATTAAAATAGTAAAAAGAATTCATAACAAAGAAAGAAAAGAAAAAGATGACGAAGAAAGATCAATGGTCTTCAATCTTCAAGTTCTCTGAAATCCTGATCTCCAACGTGAGTCTTGTAAGAACCCGCACCGTTAATTTAGGAATTTAAATTAATTAAATGTGAATTTAGAAAATAATTCCATAATTGACCCTAATAATTATTGGAAGGCCTAAATAATTATAGTAAATGATTAATAATGTCGAAAGCCGCTTTTCTGATGAAAAGTGCAGATATCGGTTCTGCCTCACGGTATAAATGCGTACCGATGAAGTATCCCGAAAAAATATGAAAAGTATGTACATATCACTAGAATAATATCTAGGCCTAGTATAACAAGTTTGGAGTCAAAATAATGAGAACTGGCGTCAGGACTGATACCAGCTACGTAAAAGCGTGTATCGGAAAGTGCTGCGAAAAATAAAATAAAAATATGACAAATCCTAGAACAATGGCTAGGTTCAGAATCCAAAGTTTAGGATTAAAATGATTAGCGTAGCTATTAGTGATAATACAATGTGATTAAACTTAATGAGGCTATATATACAAACTTACACAGAACCCTAGGCTGATTCTAATCAACTCTAC